GAACCGCTCCAGCGAAAGCTGAAGATCACGTTCTGATGTGTCTGATGTGTTTTGATAATAACCAACTCCATAGCTTAATGCAAACCAAATTCTTTTACATCCAGAACTCAGCTCTCCTAGATACGGAAGTTCTGATAACATCTCATTCACACATAGGTTTCATACATCACATCTAGTTCCATCCACTCACAGTAAATGTTAGTTAACCTGTCATGTTTTAATTGTTTGTAAAATAAATTCTTACCTTTGTAAACCTGACTCTTTCCTGAATCAAAACGAAGTGTATACAATCCCTTGATAAAGCAAGAATCTTAGAATCTTCTGATTAAAACACAATAAAGACCAAGCAGGTTGATATTCTATATTTAGATAGAGTATCACTGCTTATTGGTCATAAGTAGAGGTAATATATATTGAGCTCTTAAAGCACTCAATTTCTCAAACCCTACACAGATAACATAAGTTTTGCTTCTTTCTGTTCCTTTTTCATATTTTATTTTTGCAAACCTGTTTTGTGTTTTGTTTTTATTTGTGAATTAATGAAAATAATCTTAAAAAATAATAAAATTAATAAAATAAAATATAAAGAAACTAAGAGTAAAACAAATTATCCAATGTTAAATATCAGCTTCCTGGCCAGTGAAAAATCATTAGGAAGCCATTTTATATAAATTTTTTCAAGTGGAAGAGTGAAAATTTCAGGTGATGACTCCTTGAAAGAAATGTGTAATACACAGAATTTGATAGTAAACAAGTAAAAATATTAGACACTGTGGCTTTAAGAAGAAGAAGAAGAAGAAAATATAATTTCTACAGCGCCTCTCAAGATAAAAATCACGAGGTGCTTCACAAAAACAAAAAATATAAAAATTGTAAAAATAGAAAAAAAGCATTTAGAAAATGTTTAAAAATATATTTAAAATGAGCAAAAATAGACAATTGTGATTAAAAATGTTAAAAAAGAGAGAGAGTGAATAGGAAAGCGGGAAATCAGTGGATCCTGAGGAAGGTTGAATAGGTGGGGAGAGCAGAATAAAGAGAGAGTGGTGAAGAAGGTCATACAAAAGCCAGCCTGAACAAGTGAGTCTTCAGCTGCTTTTTAAAGGAGACCACTGAGTCCACTGATCTCAGGCTCAGGGGGAGAGAGTTCCAGAGTCTGGGGGTCACAGCAGCAAATGATCTGTCACCTTTGGTCTTTAGCCTGGTGTGCTGCACAACCAGTAGGCTTTGATCACTGGACCTCAGGGACCTGCTGGGGGTGTAGGGACTAAGAAGATCAATGTAAGATGGTGCTTGTCCATGTAAGGCCCTATAGACCAGAACCAGGATCTTGAAATGAACCCTGAAGTTGACTGGCAGCCAGTGAAGCTGGAGGAGAAGCGGGGTGATGTGGGTGTATTTGGAGGACTTGGTCAGAAGCCGAGCACAGGCATTCTGAACCACCTGTAGACGGTTCAGGGAGGTTCTGCTCAGACACGTGAAAAGAGAGTTACAGTAGTCTAAGCGTGAGGAGATAAAGGTGTGGACAACTGTCTCAAGTTCAGAGCGGGACAGAATGGGACTCAGCTTAGCAATGTTCCTGAGATGGAAGAAGGAAGAGCGAACAAGAGAACAGACATGAGAATCCAGGGTGAGAGCTGGGTCAAAGGTCACGCCAAGATTCCTGACGGAAGGTTTGGTGTGGGAAGCAAGCTGACCGAGAGTCTCTGACTTTGGGAACCAGCTTGTCTGGGGCACAGATGAGGATCTCAGTCTGATCATTCAGCTGAAGAAAGCTCCCAGCCATCCAGGTTTTGATAGAGTCTAAGCAGGTGTGTAACAGCTGCAGCTTAGACATCTCATGGGGCTTAAAGGAGATGTACAGCTGGATGTCATCTGCATAAAGATGGTAGGAGATTCCTTTGAAGGAGCTCAGGATGTGCTGAAGAGGAAGCAGATAGAGAAGGAAGAGCAGAGGCCCCAGCACAGAACCTTGTGGGACACCATGGGTAAGGGAGGTGGTGGAGGACCTAAACTTGGAGACGGCCACAGAAAAGGAGCGCTCAGAGAGATAAGAGCAGAACCACTCCAGAGCAGATCCTGATAGGCCTACCCAGTCTCTCAGCCTCTCCAGTAGCAGGTGATGGTCAACAGTGTCAAAGACTGCAGTCAGGTCCAGCAGGACCAGAACAGAACAGTCCCCTGCATCACTGTGAGTCAGAAGGTCATTAGAGACCCTAAGAAGAACTGTTTCAGTAGAATGAGCTCTACGAAAACTTGACTGGAAGCTATCATAGATGTTATGTTCATCAAGAGCAGCTGTGAGTTGTTTAGCCACAACCTTTTCCAAGATCTTGGAGATACGGATGTTTAGAGATGGGTCTGAAATGCTGCTGTGGAGAGAGGGGTCGAGACTCGTTTTTTTAAGAAGTGAGTGGATTACAGCATTCTTAAAGTAAGCAGGGACCTGACCAGAAACCAGAGAAGCATTAATTATAGAGAGCACGCTGGGACTGATGGACTGAAAAGCACTTTTAAACAAAGATGAGGGTAAGATGTCGAGGGGGCATGCAGAAGTCTTCATAGAGTTAACTAGTTTAGTCAACTCAGGCAAAGAAACCGGAGAAAAGCTATCTAGGATGATGGGCCTGGTTGGAGTTGGGAGAGGCGGCGATAAGGCTGAAGGAGAGATGCTAGATCTAACCTTATTGACTTTGTCCACAAAGAAAGACAGAAAGTTCTCACAGTCTGCAACAGAGTGGATGGAGGCTGTAGGAGAGGCAGGAGAGACGATGCTGCTGATGGTGTTAAACAGCACCTTGGAGTTCCCTTTGCTCTGGGACACCAGGTTGGAAAAATAGGAAACCCTAGCGTCTCTGACTGCGGAGTTAAAGGATGTCAGAAGATCCTTTAGGTGCAGCAGATGGACGTGGAGATGGGTTTTCTTCCACAAACGCTCAATTTTTCTGCATTGGCGCTTCAGGCCGCGAAGGCTGTCATTAAACCAGGGAGTAGGGTTCACTGCAGGAACTGATCTGGTTCTGACAGGACAGATGTTGTCCAGAATGGAGAAGCAGCGTTCGTTAAACTGAGAAGTTAAGGAATCTGGGTCGTTATCAGTAGAACAGGGTGGATAAAAAGCAGCAGAAAAATTGCTAGCTGTGCTCTCATTAAGAAAACGAGAACTAACCATACGGCGAGCAGGAGGTGGGGACGCAGAAACTGACAAGTTAAAGAAAATGCAATGGTGATCTGAAATATAGACGTCCTCAGGACAAACACTGTCAGCATTGTTAGACCCAGGGTAAAAACAAGGTCTAGAGTGTGCCCCCTGGTGTGTGTGGGGCCAGAAACATGCTGGGTAAAGCTGAAGGAGTCCATGAGGCTGGAGAAATTCATGGCAAAGTGATCAGAGGGATCATCAACGTGGATGTTAAAGTCACCAACAATCACCAGTCTGGACAGCAGGGGCGGATTTAGGACTGAAGAAGATCCGGGGCTTAACACACACGCGCGCGCACACACACGCGCGCGCACACACACGCATGCGCGCACACACGTGACACGCACTAGTCAACATCATATATATTTGTCTTGTACCACATAATGTTTAATCTGAAGCTACATATTCAGCATATTCAGGGCAGAGTATTGTTCCTGTTAGTGTTTAGTGTGAGATGATAGTAAATATTCCCTTTCTTTCTCCAACAACTTTACCTGATAAGCTAACTTTAGGCAAACCAGCAGCACAACAAATATTTTCAAATAAGACTCACAAACCTGAGTCAACACCAGTCTCATCAGAGCTGGGGTTCTGTCGTTGTACTTTTGGTCTAAAAAAACGTCCTTATATCCATCTTCACTCATGCGTTTCAGACAGACTGCAGAAGCCAGCTGCTGAAGGGCTTCTCTTCAGTCTCAGGTAAACTGTATACTGACTAAGTAGCCTAGTGGTAGAGTGTCTGCCCTGAGATCGGGAGATCGGGGGTTCGACTCCTGGTCGGGTCATACCAAAGATTTTGAGAAAAATGGGACCCAATGCCTCCCTGCTTGACACTCAGCATTGGATTGGGGTTGGATTGGGGGTTAAACCACCAAATAGTTCCCGAGCGCGGCGTGTCTGCAACTCAGGGGATGGGTCAAAATCGGAGAATAAATTTCACCACACACCTGTGTGTGTGACGACTAAATGGGACTTTACAAACTACTGCCAGCTGCGCCCTCTCTGTGTGACTTTGGTACTGCATGTTACTTCCGCGATTTAGATCCGGGGCTTATCATGAAAGATCCGGGGCTTCAGCCCAAGTAGCCGGGCCTAACGCCGCCCCTGCTGGACAGCTTCACAGTGGAGGATAGGAAATCACTAAACTCCTGAAGGAAAGAACTGTTTGGACCAGGTGGACGATAGACCAAGCACAGTAGAACTGGACTTTACGCCCGACTTTAATCAGCTGAAGTTCAAAGGAAGCAAAGTGACCAGAGGTTGTAGAGCTACATGGAAGATGGTATCTGAAAACAACAGCTAGCCCCCCCCCCCCCCCCCCCCCCCCCCCCCCCCCCCGAACCAGAACCCCGAGGCTGGCTAAGAAAAGAATAACCACTCGGGCAGAGTTCAATCAGAGCAGAATAATCAGATGTTTGCTGCCAAACTTCAGTCAGAAACAGAAAATCCAGGTTTTTAGACATAATTAGATCATTGAGCAGGAAGGTCTTATTGTTAACCGAGCGGGAGTTTAATAGAGCCATGCTGAGTGAGGAGGAGGAATCAGAAACTACAGAAACAGCTGGAGTTAGTGGACGTAAATTAGCAGGGTAAGCCCATGAATGCTCATTTTCAGTAGGATGTAGATCTGACTTTCTAATCCGAGCTTTTCCCCTTCTGCTTTCTATCGGCAGCTCATGCAGGAAATGGGGTAGAAGACTCAGCCAGCATGTGAAACTCAGAGTGGCCGATTGTTTTTGAAAAGTAAAGCAATGGCTTCTCGGTGAACTTGCTCAATTGATAGTTTTGTGTTTCTTACCAATGTGGCAGTTATGCAGCCAGATCCGATGTCCGTCATATTTGCAGTTGCATTTCATGGCGTTGTTGGTAAAGTCGCTTTCTGCCACTTCATTATTTGGATTGATGACAACCTGAGGAGGCAAGGACAGTGAGGTAACCTACCGAGGAGAGGACAAACCTACAATCAGGATGAGCTCTTACACGATGCAGTTAATTCAGATTCTACTGAGACCGTTCTGCAATAGGAAGTAAAAACTGAACCAAGGAAGACGGTTTTCCGAGAGGACAACGTTAAAAAGATAAAAGCAAAGAGGTTTATTGGCTTTTCCTCTGTTGTAGTGTCAGGTCACAGTTTTAATGATTGATGACCTTCTGTCACAAAACACACCAAGAACACAAGTGAGAGAGAAAGAGAAACTGTGTTCTCACAGTGAGCCCCAGGCCTGGATGGATGAAGAACGGGCATGCTCTTCATCATGGGAGACTCATTCAGGGTTTCATTTCTAAATCAATTAGTACAGAATCTGGTTGTTTTTCTCTGGATGAGAAGCAAAATTGGCTGTAATATTTTAGTTTTTATATAGATGCAACAATGACCCTCATCACTGGAAGAGATGATAAATGACTACTTTTTTCTGACACACCTGTCCAGAAAATTTTCACCCTGAGATGAAAAAATCCACCAGCTCACAGAAACCAAAGATAAAAAGAAATCGCAGTAACTGACTCTCACAAACAGCACAGGTCTCTGAGGATCAGAGTGGTGGTGGTGGGTTTTCCTTTATTAGCTCACTGAACTTTGGCACAACTACATAGTTGCAGATGGACACTGTTGTTCTGGAAGCTTTGTGAATTAGACAGAGGTGCAAAATAGTTCTTTGGTGAATTTGTGCCTTTTTTGTCATAAAAACATCAATTTCTCTATGTTTTCTGTCCCTTTCTTTGCCTCTTTTCCCTCAGATTAACGATGGCAGCCTTTCCTGACGAATACAGACATGAACACATGCTGCTTGGATTGAAGACTCTAATTTTGCGCCTGGAAAATCCTTTTCATCGCTCTGATTAGCAGCATTTTCTGCATGCCATACATGTTCACCTGTAAAATGTAGTTTCCAGGTTTGACATCTGTGATGTCGATCCACTGGCAGTCGATGTCATGGCGGTACAAATCCCAGCAACCGACCGTGATGCCCTGATCACCAAAGTTGGCACACTCGTACCTCTTAGATACACCTGAGTGAAAAAGTTTTTACTTTAAAAAAGGTTATTCACTGGTTAATTCCTACAGTTTGCACCTACATTCATGGAAAATATGTCTGAAAGGTTTTGAATAATTAATTATTATTGTGTTGCGGTAAAGAGTTTATTCTAATCTGAGCATCACTCACCCTCCTGACAGTCGGTGTCTTCCAGGCAGAAGCTGGCTTTGTGACCCTCTGCCACCTTGGTACCGTTTGCATTCAGCAGGTCGTAGTGGGTGAAGATATCCATGCTGTGATAATGACTGCAGTAGAAAGAACAGGAATGATGTGAAAAACTTGATTTTACTCTCTTTCATGTAAACCTGCATTCTTCAGTCAGATCTGACGTTCTGCCTCACAACACTCCAGCCTGACCTCCTAATGGCTTTCCAGACAAAACTCACATTCACAGCACTTCCCATCGGGAATTTTACACGAAGGGCCAACCAATTGGAGAGCTGACACTGTTATCTACCTAGAAACATAGTTGGAAGACTTTTGATTGGATGAAAAATTGAGCTGCTGTAGATGACAACCTGACACTAGGAATAAAAACAGAGCAGCTTATTTTGCTACTAACATTTTCTACACAATTAGGATAATTTTATAATATAAGAAATAGTTAAAAAAAATCTCGTTTCTGAGGAGCTAAAGAGCTCAAAGGCCCTGAAATTCACCACTGGTCTCCTAAATGTTTTGCAGGTTTTGTAAGAATTAGTGAGCACAAACCTGGTCAGAGCTTTAGATGATATACATCATTACTATTATGTCATGTGTATTATCAGTTTAAACTTCATCAGAGAATCAGAGAATCAGAGAGAATTTTATTGCCAGCGCTCCAGCGAACCAGAGCATAGGAACTTGACTCCACAGAACAGCCTGACCAAGATTACACACACACATATAGACAGGACAGATACAGGCAGACCACGAGAGCAGCCATAACGGCGCTCAATGAAACGGTAACGCTTCTTTTACGGCACAGTTGTTCCTGATGTGGGGATTTAGCTCATCTGCCACTTTACTGGGTACACCTTGCTAGTACTGGGTTGGACCCCATTTTGCCTTCAGAACTGCCTTAATCCTTCTTGGCATAGATTCAACAAGGTACTGGAAACGTTCCTCAGAGATTTTGGTCCATATTGACATGATAGCATCTGGTGACTGTGGAGGCCATTGAAGTGAACTCATTGTTATATTCAAGAAACCAATCTGAGATGATTCTAGCTTTATGACATGGTACATTATCCTGCTGGAAGTATCAGAAGATGGGTACACTGTGGTCATAAAGGGATGGACATGGTCAGCAACGATACTCAGGTAGGCTGTGGTGTTGCAACGATTATCAATTAGTACTAAGGGTCCCAAAGTGTGTCAAGAAAATATCCCCCATACCATTACACCACCACCACCAGCCTGAACCGTTGATACAAGGCAGGATGGACCCATGCTTTCATGTTGTTGACTCCAAATTCTGACCCTACCATCCGAATGTTCCAGAAGAAATCAAGACTCGTCAGACCAAGAAACATTTTTCCAATCTTCGGTTGTCCAATTTTGGTGAGCCTGTGTGAATTGTAGCCTCACTTCTTGTTCATAGCTGACAGGAGTGGCACCCGGTGTGGTCTTCTGCTGCTGCAGCCCATCTGCCTCAAGGTTTTACGTGTTGTGCATTCAGAGTTGCTCTTCTGCATATTTTGGTTGTAACGAGTGGTTATTTTAGTTACTGTTGCCTTTCTATCAGCTTGAACCGGTCTGGTCATTTTCCTCTGACCTCTGGCATCATCAAGGCATTTTTGCCCAGAGAACCGGATGTTTCCCTTTTTTCAGACCATTTCCTGTAAACCCTAGAGATGGTTGTGTGTGACAATCCCAGAAGATCAGCAGTTTCTGAAATCCTCAGACCAGCCTGTTTGGCACCAACAACCATGTCATGGTCAGAGTCACTTAAATCACCTTTCTTCCCCATTCTGAAGCTCGGTTTGAACTGCAGCAGACCGTCTTGACCACATGCCTAAACGCATTGAGTTGCCACTATGCGACTGGCTGATAGTAATTCGTGTTAATGAGCAATTGAACAGGTGTGTAGCAAGTGGCCAGTGAGTGTAGATCCTTGAATTCCTGTTGAGTTTGTTGAAGGACTCGTGCCTTCTTCATACTTACCCATGACAGGCGTGCCAGACCCACGAGTGGCGTCCTGCTTTCGGCTTAAAGTCAGCTCGCCCAATGTTGTGGATCTCAGATGAGAATCGAAGCAGTCGTCTGTGTCCGTATGGCCAGTTGGCTTTAGCAGCAGATTTGGACAGGCAGTTCTCCTCAGCAGCACAGTAAAGCATATGCAGAGGACGATCCTCAATATAAACCGTCTGCTGGACAAGAGATGCATTCAGGACCAGATCAGAGGCCGCTGGACACAGGAGACAAGGTGTAAATGTGATGTTTTACTCTAATGGGCTTTAGTTCTGTCTTAATCATGCACTGATGAGACGGAGCAGAAAACCACGGGTATACTTCAATCTGCCGTGACTCACTCTCTGAGCAGATGACTCCAGCTGCAAACTTTGCTGCAGCTCTTTGGCAGTTGACGGTTTTGTGATGTTGGCATTGGCTCAGAGCCATCTCGTTTCCTGTGCACTTCACACCGCTCATCACCATCTCCGTCACATTGCTGCTGTCCCAGTACCAGGTTTCCTTAGAAGGGTTCAGACAGCAAACAGATAAACAAACACGTGGATCAGGCCTTAATCATCCACATGTGGAGCGCCAAAGGAAAACAGATGTGGACGATTTGGCAGTAGACTGGGGACACAGAGTAATACTGAGATCTCAAGGAAAACTTCAAACAGAAACAGATTTAATCATCTATTCTATGAGCAAAAATACTTAATCGTGCCTTTTTTTGTCCAACTTACAGTGATAGCATGCATGGAGTAGCCGAGCCCTAGCTGCCTGCAAACCACCATGGCCTCCTTTGTGGTCCAGCCTGTGCTGCACACTGTGCCCCACTTGGACCCAACCTGAACCTCGACTCGGCCCTCATAACTGCTTCGGCCGCCCACAATTCGGATCTGCAGAAACGTCCTGCAGGGAGTCAGTCTGGGGACATGCATCCTGTCCTGTCTCTGAACTGTCTAAACCGAGACGTACCCGTGTTTACATGCCAGCCTCAGGCAGTGGAAAGTGTGTTGTTTAAAGAGCAGATTGGTTAGTCTCGTCTAGGCGAGGAGGCCGGCATGGTTTCCGGATGAGGTCACCACGTGGCCGTGTTAGTGAGTGGGATCAGGAGATTTGTGTTCTGATCTGTTCACAGGGAACAGGTCTATGAAAGTGAGCAGCAAAGAGATTTGATTCCATATGGTGGTTATAATATACTGCCACTCACTCAGGGGTCTACGTTCAAAAATGCTACATTTGAACAATTGAATAAAATGATTGGTTAGCCCTCTACTTCTACAGCAGAAGCAGGCTGATCAAAAGAACTGGATCACGTGATCGTGAACACGTTCCCTTCACCACTGCCATCGGGGCCGGATCCATCATCTCACATAGACAGCAAGCTACTGTGTCCAGAAGTTCCTCTCTGGAGTCTATCGAGTAGAAACCCTAACCCAGAGAGTTAAAAGAATCAGTAGAAATAGCTGAAGCTCCTTTAATTCGTTTGAGCTAAAATAACAATTAGAAACTCAAAATAAAGCGAGGGTGAAAGGTCACTTGGTGGGTCTGGCAGTACATTATATTCGCATATGTTTTAATATCAGAGGGGAAAAGCTGTTGGTGGTGTTAGTGACCTACTTGCAGGCCCTGGTTAGCGTAGCCTAGACCCAGCTGCCTGCAGGCCACCATGGCTTCTTTGGTGGTCCAGTTCTCACCACAGATCAGACCCCATGTCTCTGTCCCATCAGAGTCCGAGCTCAGGACCTCAACACGGCCCTCGTGGCGTGTTCGTCCTCCTGTAATTCGGATCTAAGTGAGAATGAGGGGTTAAGCACCGTGAAGCAGGGTGTAGATACACAGAATTCAGATCTGAGGTTCTGCTGTCTGAAATGTAATGTTTGGATTATTTCAGTGATTATTTAGATTCCATGGAGTTTTTGTTCTGGCTTGTGTATCTACACGAGGGCTGGTTAAGAAGAGCCACAAATCCTTCACGGTGAGAGAAAAGCGGTGTCAGAAAAAGTAAAAACTATTTTTGGGAATCTTGACAACTTTAAACGACACAACAGAGAACTTTTTTCTGACAGGACTGAAAGATTAACTTAAGATGTGAGATTTTGGTCCAACATTGATTCTGTTGTTTTAAATTTCACATCTTTTTACAGACGAGAATAACAAAGAAGTTAAATCAGTTAAATGAGCACCTCACTGACAGAAAAAGCACAAAAATATTTCAGTACTAACATGAGCTGATGTGTTGCATTCATTCAGCCTTTCTACACAAGTGTGATGTAAAAACAAATCTCACAGGTTACAGTGATAACTCGGTTGTTTTCAAGTGGCGTTTTACCAGGTTATGGATCTGTTGTTAACAGCTCTTTGAATGATTGATATGCTAAGGGATAGGCTGAGTCGGGCCAAGGTCAAAGTCGATTACTGTCATCTTAAAAAACAACTCCGATCTTAAATATTCATGCAAATAGAGTTTTATAAACCTTCCCCAAACAATAAATCCAGTAGGAATACTAAGACATTCCTCTTGGACGTACCTCGGACTGCACTAAAAATGCCACAGTTAGCTGCTAGTGCTGCTAAATGTGCTTAAAAAAACACAGATTTCTTAATAAATTACCATGTCATGGTAAATTCACAGGAATAAATAGTAAATGGCTTTCTAGAGTCCTATGAACCCCCAAGGTGCTTTACAACACAACAGTCATTCACACGCTAATGGTGATAGCCACAGCTGCTGGAGCACACTGATAGAAGTGAGGCTATCGTACACAGACACCATCAGTCCCCTGAACAACCACCAGAAGATAAGGAGGATGAAGTGTCTCGCACAAGGACATAATAGACTCTTCAGTAAACCATGTTGCCAATTTGCCACAACGCTGTAGCGGCATCCAGGAGTCTATAGGTCATTTATTTGTGGTCAGACCGCGACGGTAATGTGATGCAATCATGTCCTTTTATAAAAGATTATGTGATGGCGATATAAAGGGGATATGGGGGCGGTCCCTGTGCTGCCGTGGACTTCAGTGTAACTTGGGTGTAACTAGTTTTTTATTGCGATCAAAGCCGCACCCACCAGGTTTTTTAACAAGCTGCTCCTAAAGGTGTCTGTCTATCCCCCACAGTTCCCGTGCAGTCTCGGGTGATCTGAGCTCCAGCTCTAACAGAGAGAAGGTCAAGGAGCTCTGCATCGCTCCAGTTTATCATTTCAGCTGATTCTGACTACAAAAGCGGAACTTACTGACTGATTTTACTTTCATTTTCTATTTAGTTCCTGCCCGAAGCTCGGCAGTAACTCCCCACATGATTATGACACCTCCCTCTGTTGCTTTAAGGTGTAATATGCTTTCACAAGTCTGGCGTTGCAGCAATGTTACCACCAGGCGTGGCAGCATAAATGCCACAAAATTCCTGCAACGCCACGCTGCAATGGCGCTTTCATAAGGCACACTGCGACGGCAGGATTACACTGATTTGCCGGCATGGTGTTTCCTCTAACAAGGACACAATGACTGTGGCAGACTGAGCGGGGCTTGAACCAGCAACCCTTCAGTTACCCCACTACAACCGTTGCCTCACGGGAGAATAATACAGTTTAAAAACGTATTCTCGTGATCCACTAGGAAATCTTTAAGATCAGATTTGTTTTAAAATCTCAATTTTTGACTTTGGGTACTTACACTAGCCTTTAGCTTGTCAATCCACTAAGAAATAAAACCAGTCTTGTCAAAACAGGCTATTAAAAGAGCAATCTAAAGATCCAACCAAGCCATAACCTTCATACAGAACGAGTCTAGCAGTTAAAACTCTCAGCAGGATTGAAATGAGGCATTGTGGTAAAAAGGTTTGGTCTGACCGAGTTCTCGAGGCCCATGTAAGGCGTGTTGCAGCGGACCGCAGCATCCTCCACGTGTTTGCAGTCTTCAGCGGTGATGTTTTTAAATGGGCAGCTCCAGACCGACTTCTCGTTTCCAAGACACTTCACCTCGTTCATGTGGATCGGACCCATCCCTGTTAGAACAGATGGAACACGTCCTTTCAGAATGCAAATACAGTAAGTTGTTTGAGGGTGTAGAGTGGGATGAGAAAGGATTTAGCAGCCACGATTGTCCAAGCTGTCCCACTTGATAAAAGGTCTGTAATTCTCTTTAGGTACACTTCAACTGTGAGAAACAGAATGTAAAAAAATCCAGGAAATCCCATTAGCTGATTTTTAAATTATTTATTTGTATAGCTGTGCAGAAAAGAAACATTTAGCACCTACAAACAAGCAGGAATTCTGGTCCTTACAGACATGCTTCTTGAACGACAATCCTAGGGCTTCCCACTCCAGTCGCTTGGTTCCAGTTACATGACCCGGTGTTGTGTTTGTACCTGAACTGATCCGCTCTGACTTGTACCTACACTGTTTATTTTAGCCGCTTCTCTAATTATTGCCCCTTTATATGAATTGTTTTATCATGAGTATATTATTACTTCCTATATTTGCTTATCTCTTATTTTTATCTTCTTTTGCACCAAGTACCGCAGCAGTTTCCTAAAGTTGTGATTTCTCGCAAATATGGCAACAAAACCTTCTGATTTTGATTCTGATTCTTCTTTTTTAAGAAGCTATTCCATCCTTCAACTGTTATCCATATTAATGACACCTGTTCGCACCTGTCATCTGTGTAAAAGACACCTGTCCACACCTTCAAACAGTGAGTCTCCAACTTCCACCATGGATAAGACCAGAGAGCTAAGGACATTAGGGACAAGATTGTACACTTGCTCAGAAGTGGGATTAGCCAATTAAGGATAATCTCCCTAGACCTTTGGTTTCATGCAAGATCTCTCCTCATAGGGAACAAATGATCTTGAAAAATGGCAAGAAAACAACCCAGAACTTCACTGGAGGAACTGGTCAATGACTTGAAGAGAATGGAGACCAACAAAGATTACTAATAGTAACACTACGTCATCATTGATTTAAATCTTGCAGCACTCCATAGATGTTTAAGCCAGCACATGTCAAGACCCGTATTAAGTTTGCCAGAGACCATCTGGATGATCCAGAGGAGGTTTGGGAGTACTTTGTGGGTAGATGATACCAAGTGGTACGAATGCCATTTGCCTTGTTTAGAGAGAGGGGGGGATGCTGAGTTGCATCCTAAGAACACCATACCCACTGTCGAGCATGAGAGTGGAAACATTATGTTTTGGGAGTACGTTTCTGGAAAGGGGACAGGTTGACTGATTCATATTAAGGGCCATGTAACGTGAGGTTTGGGGCAAAAAACTTCCATCAGTGAGAGCACTGAAGATGAAATCTACCTGGATCTTCAAGCATGACAATGATCCCAAGCACACTGCCTAGGCAACACAGGAGTGGCTACATAAAACGCATTTCAAGGTTCTGGAGGGGCCTAGCCAGTCTCCAAACCTCAATCCAATATAGAATCTGTAAAGGGGGTTGAAAGTCCTTGTTGTCCAGCAACAGCCCCAAAACATCACAGCCTTAGAGAAGATCTGCATGGAAAAATGGGCCAAAATACCAGCAACAATGTGTGCAAACCTGGTGAAGACCTACAGGAAATGTTTGACCTTTGTCAACCCCATCTGAAACTCTAACCCAACCAATGTTACGTCACAAAGTATTGAGGTGAACTTTGTTAATGACCAAATACTTATTTTCTGCACCATTATAAAAAACAAAATCATACAGTGTGATTTCCTGGATTTTTTTACATTCTGTCTCTCGTAGCTGAAAATTAGACTTTTTATGTGAGAGAACTTGCACAGTCAGTGCCCCAATGTAAATGTCCCCTTGAAAACATCACTTCATGCTACCATCCCATCATTTAGTACATTATGTAATTTCTGTGAATGGCTGTCCTTCAGCTCTCATTCCAAATTTCATGGAAGTTCATTGGAGCAGTGTACCAGCTGGTGGTCAGATATTAATCTTAGCCTCCCACAGGAATGCAGCTTCCTCTGCCGAGTCAAGTCTCCTCAGCCAGCTTTGTCTGAGGTAGGAATCATAGCACACAGAACCAGAGAAGACGTTCCCTCCCAGCGTTTCCCAGAACCGGACCTCAAAAGACGACTTGTTTCTACTTCAGGGAAACTTCTGGGATTCTTATTCAAGTAAACACACTTCCACCAGGTTAAGGAAAATTACTAATTAGACACACACACACACACACACACACACACACACACACACACACACACACACACACACACACACACACACACACACACACACACACACACACACACAGTATGTGTGTGGCATAGCCCACTGTGAAGTTACATGACAGAACTTTTTTTTTGTTAGTTAATTATTTTTAAACTCAAACTTTTGAAATCAAACATCTTTAAACTTCTTGGAAATAAAAAGTTTACCCTGGTTTTCTAATTAGAACAGACCCTATGTAGCTTGGTGTGGTGTTTATTTACATTTTCAGATCAGCAAACAGATTTGATTTAAAGGATAAACAGAATAAATAAAAGTATTGATTTCAAATTATGATTTTATATGAAACCTAACTAGCTGTATCACCCTAAAGCCGGGCGTACACTGTGCGACTTTTTCACTCGTAGCACTCAGCTTCAGCTCAAACTGTACGACTTCCTCGCAGGGCAGATCTCAGGAGTCATGTACTCACACTGCACGACCCAGTTCTCGGATGCGACCTGACTGCTCACACTGTACGTCTGGTAGCAACATGTCGGACCTAAAAATATGCTAAAAATAGCAGTTTTTACTCAACACGTTAGACTTTTTTGTCTTGTTTTGCCTGTTGTCCTTCGGGAGTGCTGCAGGAGGACACACAGGGATTTATGGGGGTTGGATGAGGAAACGAAATAAAGAAAGTAAATCTGTGTTTTGTGATCAGTTTAATTTGACACGAACACGACAAACACGCTTTCTTGACAATCTTTGTGAGTAAAAAAACATGTAGAAATAAAAACGAACAACGTGTGTTATTAGGGAAGTAGCGGACGAGCGGCGTTGATGCAGGATTGCGCATGCACCGTGAGCGGTTCTGATACTTTTTGGGTCGCAGCTGCTCGCAGCGCCGCTTCAACAGTGCGATACCCTCACGAGGGACGAGCAAAATATTAAACACGCCAGAAGTCCGTGCGAGCTCACGACTGCTGATCGGTAGCTGGTCACGTGGTGTCAATCGCCTCTCGTAACCCCCGTACACTACACGACGCTCAGCGCAAAACTCGCCCCGATGTCGTGGATTCTCGCACGAGTGGAAAATCGGCTCAAAAAGGTGAAAAAGTCGCAGAGTGTACGCCCGGCTTTAGAGGCAACAACTGGATCCAGCTTTGTGGTAACTGGTAACGAGTCTCCCCCAGGACTTTTATCTGATTGGAGGGTATTTTGTTAAAGGTCTAATGAATTCATATGTCCTTCAGTTACAGCAAGGAGTCCCAGTCCTGAAGCAGCAGTGCAGCCCCAGACCATCACACTACCACTAACGTGTCTGACAGATTGAACAGAACACACACCTCACAGAAAGTTCTGCTTTTGTCTCATCAGTCCACAGCAGGTTTTTTACCAAGAAGTGTAGAGTTGTTGCTTTTTGAGGTTTTTAGCTTACTTCCTGTTGTCAGATAAGGTCTTGCTGAAATTATTTCTTAATGGTCTGGTTCTGGTCAGGTGGTGTGGGTGTGTCTGGTGGAACTGGACTTTGCTTTAAAATGTTGTGGGTAATTGATGATTTCATCAAGTGTACATATAGCTGTATTTTAGTTCATGAAAGTATATTTTATTTCTTTTGAAGGTGTAAGCCTCACCTTGTCCCATGCGTGCTCCAGTCAGGGCCTCCTTTGCGCTGCCGAAGCCCAGCTCCCTGCAGACCACGCTGGCTGACTGCAGGTTCCAGCGGTCGTCACACACGGTCCCCCACTCGCTGTCCTTCAGAACCTCCACCCGGCCTTCTCCCATCCTGGCACCTCCCTTCAGCCTCACGTTGCTCTACGTTTTGGGCCAAACATCACTGTAATTTACTGTTTCAAACACTTATTGGAATAAAAATTTGTTTTTGTTTCGCCAGGATATGGTTCTGAAAGACACTTTACCGAAACTTTGATTTTCTTTTTCAAACTGCTGTTTTGCGTGAAAAGTGGGCCGGGCATGCAGTTGACAACAGCGGGCATGCCTCCTGTACAGGGCCATGTGGCGTTGGGTTTGCTGAACTCCATGGGACAGGCTGCGAGGTGGACCTCGGTGCCGGTACAGCCCACAGAGTGAATGAGGAAGAAGTTCTTCTGACGCTCCAAATACAACCTGAAGAGGGCAGACAGACTGGGTCAGAAGAACAACTTGATTAAAGAATTTGTTCATTTCTGGACATAACGAGGTGAACAGTGCCCAGAACAAATGATCCATTATAAGCGTTATCTAAAATAATTTGTGAGTTTTATGGATGAAGTGTGGTTGGAGATCTTTTCAGACACCAAAATGACCCAAACACTATTTAATCCTCAGATTACCTTTTGCCAGGACTGCTCGGTTTATCTTTAGCTATGGATGACTTCCTGCAAGGTAAAAAGTGTTAGACTGCACAGTCAGGAGACAAAAATGATAAAGAAGAGAGTCTTCTAACAAAACTTCTATAACACACACTTTATGTTAAACACGTTAAAGGTTTGTTGCAGCAGGACCTTTCAGCACAGCTGTATAAAGCAACAGAACAAACAGAAGACAACAGCATTAATTCTTCTGAGAACGTTCACCATGGAACCAGCTGAACCAGTGGAAAAAATAACAAATATGATCAAAAATATATGTTCTTCTCCTTTTATTTTCCCATACTGGGCTGAGTTTTGGTTGTTGTCACCAACGCTGAAGTGGATCTGATGTCAGAGTGTCGGCGAGTCCTTATAACTTTTGCTCAGATGCACCAACATTTACAGACGGAGGCAAACGTTCAGAGCGTGACACGTGTTGATTCCTACAACTCTTTCGGTCAGATGTTTCTATGCTTACTGAAGCAGAATTACAGGTTATCTTAAATTTCATGAGCTTTAAGTGACCATTTCATTAAGATGATGCAAAACATCAATATTTGCATGGCAAATATAAACTCTTTGCATCAATTCACCCACTCTTCTTCTACATCTCTGTAGATGGGTTAGGGCTAACCCTAACCCTAACCCTGACATGTTGTCAGTCAGTGTTTGGTCCAGACTGAGTAATGGAGGTCATTCTTCAACATCGGAGTGAACGACTTTCCACCAATCCTCAGCAGTCCATTCCCCAGGCACCAGTCTGTCCCTGATTGGTTTCTATGAGAGAAGTGGCTTCTTTCCTGCCGTTCTTTACACCAGAACATCCTCCAAAAGTCATCATCTCACTTAGCTGCAGACGGACTCACACCTGTATTGGTGCACTGGAGCCCTGCTCCGTCAGCTGGATCAGCTTTAGAAGAGGGTCCTGGTTCTTCTGGATTCAATGCAGGAGACAGTTCTGGTGATGTTCTGCTAGGCTTCCTTGGCACTCTGAACTTTTTTTCAATCATGCCATGAAATTGTTTCTTTTATGGATGAAGTTAATATTTCATGGCAAAGATCGATTTTTTTTTATCGGATTGGCTCATTCTCCAAAACCTCAGACTTTGTGACAATTAAACTTGGCATCTTTCTCTAAACGTTTGGCCGACACGGCGGTTGGTAGAAATCATGTTGTTGTAATAATGTAATCAGCAAGTTTTTACTCTGACTGCAACATGAAATGTCACAGGTTTGTATCTGAGGAGTAAAAAGAGCAAATGTGTTTGATTCCCATCAGTTCAGGAATAAAAACAAAGCATTCATAAGCGATTGAGCTCTTTTCATTTGTGCAAATCAAATTTAAATTTATGAGAACAGTTTTTATTTAGCTTCATGCTTCAATCTGTCCAAGAACTGAATCGGGTAGAATCTGCTGAGTATCAATGCAAAATTAGTCTAAACAGTAAAATACTTTCTGTGAATTCTCAGAATTCCTCAGAATATAAATCAAGAGATAACGATGCACTCCTATGAAATCAGGGAGAATAAATCCAGATTTAATTGTAAATTTGATCCCACCAAAACATGGGTAAAGACGATTGATTTTTTTGTTAATTTGTAGAACGTCTGTGTGCATGAATGTTTTCATAAAATTACATCAAAAGGGTTTTTAAATGGCTGATATTTAAATCAAACCTTTTTTAACTAAAACATTTCTTAATTTACACTAAAAACAGGAAAGGCTTTAAAGAGGTCTGTCACTGAAAAACCATTTTTCATGTATTGTTTTTGAAAGAAATCAGTTACTCTGAGTTTAACATGAAGGCTGAACATGAAAATAGTCTCCTACACCTTTATCCTGCATTAGCTTCTGGTAGAAAATAGACTGTGAAACTAAAATTAAAAAGCCTGACAGATCTACGTCACACTGTCTCTTAACATTTATGGACTCATCCATATTGGCTTATGGGGGAGGCTGTTGTTGTATTAGCGTCCAGGAAACGGCAGAGAACATCTTGGCTAGTTGAAGCTAACCGTTAGCATTAGCAACTCCACCTCAGGTCCAGGCTTGTGTTATTTGTGGAGATAAAACATCAGCAAAGCATTTGCAAAGCAAACAGAGTCAATGGTAGAGTCATGTTACTGTTAGCCAAATCCTGTTGTCTGAATCTACACTGAATAAAAATATAAATGCAACACTTTTGTTTTTGCTCCCATTTTTCAAGAGCTGAACTCAAACATCTGAAAATTTGTCTACATACACAAATCAACCATTTCTCTCAAATATTGTTCTGAAATCTGTCTACATGTGTGTTAGTGAGCACTTTTTCTTTACCAAGATAATCCATCCCACCTCACAGGTGTGACATATCAAGGGGCTGATTACACAGCATGACTAATGTACAGGTGTGCCTTACACTGCCCACAATAAAAGGCCACCCTGAAATGTGCAGTTTGATCAAACAGCACAATGCCACAGATGTTGCAACTGTGGCAAGGTGGAGAAATGAGGGCCCGGGCAAGATTCGATCCCCAGGCTCCCTGGTGAGTCATATGCACGCTAACCAGTCAGCCAAAGGGACATCCCCTTGGCCAAGTAGCCACAGCGCATGATCAATCGGGTCACAGTGGCAAGATGCTCACACTGTCACATCTTCCCCCCTCTTTCCACAAGCATGTCCCCATGCTCTCGCGCAGGGTGCCACCACAAACTTCAAATCCATGGGCCTTCTTGACAGTACTACATGGATCCTGCCAACAACGTCAAATTGACAGTGCGAGCGTCCTGTCACTGTGACCTGATTGATCATGCGCCCTGGCTACTTGGCCAAGGGATCTTCCTTTGGCTGACTGGTTAGCGCACATGACTCTCACCCGGGAGCCTTGAGATCAAATTCCGCCTGGGTCCTCGCTTCTCCACCTTGCCACACAACCTTTGAGGGAACGTGCAATTGGCATGCTGACTGCAGCAATGCCCCCCCCCCCCCCCCCCCCCCCCAAAAAGCAAAACTGTGCACGTGTTAGGGTGTCCTTTTATTTGTGCAAAAACAAAAGTGTTGCGTTTATATTTTAGTTCAGTGTACTTTCTCCTCTGGCTGACTTCTCTGTGCTAAAAGAGACGTACCGATGCTATTTATCCTCAGAGGATGACTTACAAGGCATTCATTCTACTGAAGACCACTACGAAGGTGTTAAAAATATGAGTGAAAAACCTCTTTAAATCAGTAATTCATCAGCAACATTATTATTAATTATTCATTGTAATTGTTTTAGAAACTACTTGACACAAACATGCAACCTCAGAATATATAATAAATGGTGTCACCACAGAAACAACGGAAGAAAAAAGTGAGAGGGACAATCTTGCTGAACGTCTAACGTGGCAAAATCCTCCCAAGTGGAAACCTGGGTGGGTTAAAACAAACACAGCTAATTGTCTGCAGATTCTTCCAGATGCAGCTCTTGTCATGTGGACTCTGGAGCTCATGGCTCGAGGCCAGCTCCTCCACACAGCAGGCTGTAATGATCTGTAGCACTTCCAGCTGCTAATAAACATAAGGGACTGAGTTCTGGCACAGCGCACATACTCATCTGTAAAGTCACAACAATCCAATAATATTCCAAAAAAAAATCTAATAAAAATATAAAAATCAACCCCAAACGTGAATCTGCACACTGTGCTGTGGGTTAGTAACTGGTTTGGACTGAAGCTTCTGTGCAGTGGCAGTTTTACTGGTTCAGTCATGGATATGGAACATTCTAGATAACTGATGTTCATCCATCCACATGCTGCTGAATCCAGGGTCAGCTAGCAGGAAGCAGGAGCTAATGGTTGTTATCTAGTCTAACAGGAAACCCACTGTCAATGAACAGATCAACACTGAGCAGACGGTGGGTTTTCCTGCTGCCGTCTACCTTCTACCAGCCTTTGGACTGGAGACCTTCTCAGCTGCTTGCTTTTTCAGTCTGCAACAGTACAACCATCACATTCCATCACACACAGAAAAAAGCTGCATACCAGCTCACATTTAACACATACGCAGAGTCAGTGGTGAAGAACATTGCTGAAATTCCTCAAGTCTCCCATATATCACTTTACTGACTTCACGTTACCAACTTCAGCAGGAGGCCTGAGCCTTCAGTTTCTGGATCCGTCCTTTTCTAGTGCCTGGATGTCCGACCTCAGATTGTTCCCCAGAGACTCACACATGGCTGAGAGAAAACAAGAGTCTCCCTTCGTGCTACTGTGAACCATCTGAAGGGAGCGAGGGGAATGCCCTGAGGAGCTGCAGGAATGTGTTCACTCATACCGAACGGAAAAAGAACGTAGAGTCTGTGGACCACGGACATCAAGTGTAGGGTTTTATGTGTTTGCCTAATTCAGGTTTTTTTTTAACATACTGAAAAAAAAACTGTGAAAGCCATGATGTTTGATAGTTTCAGAAAAGCGTTCCACAAACACGAACGTTTTTGGGCAGATGGTAGAGAAGCTCTGCACACATTCCCTCTCACGTAAACACTAGATCTCTAACTTTTATCTTGTGGTTTGGTCAAAGCTTGCTTTAAACACAGGAACTGTGGGAATGGCAGAAACGGCACCAGACATCCCGTCATGTCTTAATGGGCAGCTTTCCACGGCAGCACAACACCTATTGTTGGTCCTGGGAAACACAAGCTGCTTGTTTCTGTGGTCAAACACAATTAAAGGTTACAGGATCTACGTCTGTTCCTGTTTCACCGGTAAGTCGTTTCACTTCTTCCTGCTAAGATAGTTCTTAAAGAATGAAATCAAAGAAAAACTAAGACATGGTTTTTGATGCCTTACTTGTCTTCTGCCAAGTCTGATACACTCACTGTCCACTTTATTAGGTACACTTCACCATCACCGGTTTGGACCTGAGGAAATCACTTACTTGTAAAAGTTCTTGTTGACCTTCCTTTCATGTGGGAATCCCAGCATGCCACAGACCACACGAGTGTTTTTGATTGTCCATCCCAGGTCACAAATCTGCGCCCAGCCATCTTTGTGTTTCACCTCCACCACGCCCTCCGTAATGGGCAGCTTCTTCTTGGCCGTGACAACAACTGGGCGGAGTCGCACCTCCTCCACCTTGCTCTCATCCACTTGTGTCTGGTAAAACAGAAAAGACGGGATTATCTTTGTTCCTGCAGCGAGAAACGCTGAGTCTAGTGCACAGACGGGTCCTGGTTCCATTTCCAAACTTAGATTCAATTTCTGTAAGGCTGGTGAGGACAAAGACGAGCCACAAGGGAAACAACACCCTGAGAAGATGGGTTCCTCTGCTGTGCTTCACTGAGGAACCATAGAGCCCTTTAAGAAAATTAAAATGTGTTGCTTTGTCCTTGGTTCCACTGGGAATGTTGCAGGGGATTATGGGACATTTGTAGGGCAGCTATCCACACATTCATCTGTTTTGTTCATTCTCCTTAGTTCTACATCCTCGTAAAGGTGACTCGTCAGATTTTCCATTCATATAAATAAGGGAGAGACTTGATTTTCAGTGGGATTAAGGAGCATATTTCCACACAAAAAAGATTTCACCAGGTTTTTATCTTCACCAGGACGATAGATGTTGTGAAATAGCTACAGAGTGATTCATAGCTAGGCTCTGCTTTTGCTCATGAGTTCTCCATGTGAGGACCAGATCTGCAGGGATTCACTTCCGCTGCAGCAATAGCAGAACCTGGCTTCAGACAGATCAACGTCTGGTCGCCAAATTTGATTAAGCCTCACAGAAGAATGGAGGAAGTTATGCAAATGAAACTTCATCACATAGTCTCTTTTCATAAATATTTTCATCAAGTCACATCTTTAAATCATCCAGTCAGAAGTTTAAAAACTCCTCCACCTGACTGTTCTGTGCAGCTCGTGGATATGAAACACATATCTGCACCTTGTTTCATTTACAGAGGAGCTTCTCAGAAACACTCGTTCAGCCAGCATTCCCACCAACACCTCCACAAATCCCAGATGTGGGATCAAATATCACAAATCACCGGGTCCTCCTGTATTTATCAACTAAGACCTCTTTGATGAAGAAACAAAGACTAGCTCTCGTCATTCTGACTAAATTAAGCCGTATCTCTGCAATAAAGTGTTTAGATCATCAGATTTTAATTCAGATTTCTTGATATCCTGTTTAAAATCTGCATTGCAAGTGCAAGCACAAAAAAGGTGTCCAATAAAATGAGATCATCTACAACACTTTAACTCTTTTCTGGGAGCTTAGGACCAATCGAAGCTCTGATTCTGACCCCCACCCCTTCTCTCTGTCCAGATTAGAAAAATCTCACTGGCAGATTAACAGATTAATCAGGAGAACACCAAAGAAGCCACTGCTTCAACAGATGTGATCTAAGTGCCTGTATGTTGTATAGTGCTGTTTGTTGTTAATGAACTCCACAATCTGCAGTGATGAAAACAATCCAAACAACTTCTGAATGAATCCATTTGGGATCACTTTTACAGGAAAAGCGCAAAGTCTCTCCTGAGTGCATTTCTGTCACTTACATCGATCACATTGGAGTCCACAAAGCCGGGAATCCTCTCATCTTTGCAAACAACGCCAGCGTCTTCGTCGTGAGTGCAGTCGCTGTTGCCCCAGCCCCGAGACTTACAGAATTCAATGCTTTTCTCACCTCCGTTACACAAAACGTTATCCAGCCAGATTTTACCTGCATCAGAAACAGTCGGTTACACTCACACCAAATTCCCATCAAACCACTTCTAGTATGTCATCCTCAAAGGGGACTTATTATGAAATGCTCTATATATATCAGCTCTACGGTCGATATAAAACAAGTTCATGCAATTCTTTGAACTAAATCTCACATCACAGCACTTTTAATCTTGATGGTTTCAGAACCCTCTAGAATGAGCTGTTTTAGGGCGCTGTCCCTTTTTAAAAAAAATGCTGGAGCTGGCCACGCCCACCCCTTCCCCACTCAGGCTGCTATGAGCTGAGAAGCTTCAATATTCAGGACGTGCTCGTAGTCTTGCATGTTAGCGGTGACTCTGGTCTACTTTACCCATTTGTGATGTCACAGTAGGGGACGTTTTTGAAACAGTTTGTTTTAGACACATAATTCCAAAAACCAAACACTGGCAGAAAACAGATGGGCTTTTTTCTCAATTGGAGTGTTTATAGAGGCAGCAGAGACCAATGGCAGCACAAAAGGTGAGTATCAGGATTAGTACCTTCATCGGTGAACTGCCAAAGCAAGTCCTATATATGTCTACTGCCCTCTAGTGGAGGATCTAGAGGTGGTGAGGGTCGACTTTATCAATTCTTTACTGTTATAGAATTTAGTAAAAAAAAGTATTACAGTTACAATCACTATATTTATAATAATAATTATTATTATTATTATTATTATTATTATTATTATTATTCAGGATTTAAAGGGACTCCCTTTTTCTCAATTTTCTTGTCATGCATTCCAGCTTTTAAGAAATACCTAAAGTGTCACAGATTTAATTAGAAACTTCCTTTGAGACAGATTTTTACAAACAATTTGGTGAGAGAAGCCTCGATTTATTCCGTATATTTACTGCTGGTTAGATTCTCTCTCTGGGCTTTAAAATGACAAAGTGGGTTGGAAAAATCTAAATCTAGTTATTCACTAGTTCTGAGATAAGTATCTGTGTGCGTAGATAACCAAATGGGACAATCCAACGTTGACTCTCCAACTCTGCTGACACACAACCTAAACATTTTCCATAAAAACAGAAATCATGGATGTTTGCCATTATCAGCCTAAAGGGTTGGTCTTACCTTGACCTTTTCCATATTTGGCACTGTGGGTCCACCCTGTAGCTGAAACGAAACCCATCTGACGACAGAGAACGTTGGCGTTGGCTGTAGAGAAGTCGTCATCACAGATGGTTCCCCACTCCCCCTTATAAAACAGCTCTATCCGCCCCTCGTTGTGTTTCCGGGGATATCCAGCTAGTCTGACCTTCAGCCGTTCGGTCTGAGGGGATGATGATGGGGTTGGGCCCAGGTTGGTCCTGCTTGGTGGTGTGGTCTGGGTTAAACAACAAGGAAACCACAGCCCGAACAGTAGGGTGAGCACCAACTGTTGTCTGTGCCTGGGCTTTCCCATCGTTGTAGCTGCAAGAGAAAGAAAATGTCAACGTCAGAAAGCAGACAAAAGGGACCCTGGGTGGTGGAGCACACATAATGCGTCTTCATTTATATCTTTTTTCTTCAAAGGGAATTTAGTTATGCTCCGACTTAGTGTTGCTCACACAGGGGACCAGCGCATAGAAGTCAAGTCACATGATGTGCCATTACTTATGCGTTTTATGAACCATCTGGTCAGTGTTAATGTGAGCAAGACTACAGCAACCACCTAAAGAATGAGGCTCTCAGTCCACTCATGATGAGTCGATCATAAATCAGTACTGCCATTTTTCTCGTTAAACTGCAACATTTCTGATAAATTCTTGGGTTTTGTCTCTTGAAGCTGCTGTTGTCACTATACTCCACAAAGGCCTGCTGTTGATGAGTGCAGAACCAGACTCAGGTTGTTTCTTCGGAGACAGAAACACTGTGATGTGATGTGTTTGTACAACAACCACAAATTTAAGATTCCCTTTCCAAAACTGAGATTGAGCACATAGCCTGAGTCCAGTGTCACAGAGACTGGAAGGACACACACTTTTACAGAGCTTGGGTCGAGCAGCTAGCTAGCTAATGTGTCTGAAGCTGCATTTTTCTAATTTATTATTTATTTTAAGAATTGTTCAAAAAATAAAAACATTAAAAACATAGAAGAGGATATCCAGGAGATATCCAGCTAGTCTGACCTTCAGCCATTCGGTCTGAGGGGAGCAAAGTAACAAACTTAGTTTTTCCTGCACCAGGAAGCAAAAACCTGATTAGATGAGTAAGCTAAAATGAGATGCACTTATATGATAAAACATCAGACATTTCACTCTTATTCATCCACAGGGACATGTCTCCCCAAGTTATGTAGCAGGTAGAGGACAATGAGACATCATGAGACCTCCACCTCTTTAACAGGATTTGTACTTTCCTCAGAAACCTGTTGAATCCTTTATGGGTCTTCTGCCCTCTGGTGGGGGCTCTAAGTACAACAGCTGGTGAGTGCCAATTAAATTTTAATTTTATGATTGACCTTTCAGATAATTACATCATATATTTTAATACATGTTTATGTAATCTCAAGAATAAAACTGGCTAAGAACTCAAAAATGTATCAAACTGAAGCCAGAGGTGATTCTAACATCTGCTGAACTCATCTGTGGTGAACTTATCTTAGTTGGTAGACTTTCATCAGCTGTGATCAGTTCTTTATGTTTGTTTGTTTGTTTGCAAAATGAAGAAAAAAGAAAAACACATTTATGTGAGTGAAAAAATTATAGGAATATTAATGTCTGAGTAGTAGCAACTGATGGAATCGTGAAAAGTTTAATATCTCAGTAATTTTTATTGTATAACTCAAACCATTCATCACACACACACACACACACACACACACACACACACACACACACACACACACACACACACACACACACACACACACACACACACACACACACACACACGAACACACGAATCTGTACGTGAGCTAAGACAACCCCAGGGTTCAGGTCTTATTTCCTTCCCTTGTTGCAGCTTGTCGCTGACCTCAGGGAGACTCTACAGCCACATCACAGAGAGCTGAATCAATGATCCAAATACCAGCCATAAATAATTGAGCCCAGATGGAAACCATCACAGCAACGCTTTGTAAAAACTAACATATTGAGCAAGTTGGTGAGCTTTCTAGCGTACTCAGCATAGTCATTTTCTTTCATTTGCTCAGCTATGAGCAGCTGGACTAAAACTAAAACTATCAAAAGGTCATTTCCAGATAAAACATTTCTCAAAAGTGAACCATATTGATACTAGAGAATAGAAGGTCAGTAAAAATAGTAATAGTAGTTACGTAAAATGCTTTATAAAGTCATAGAAAACATTAAAGGTTTATTTCTTATTCTGAGATTACAATCTCTGCTCATCACGACTCCCTTTGAAACTTTTCCTTTCTTACAGTGAAAGTGAAGGTCTCCCTTACCTTTGGAGGAGGAGGTTATAACGGTTCCAGCGGAGTCTGAAGATCCAGATCTAAACCCTCTCATAAAAATCACAGTTTTTAGTTTTAACTCATGCTCTCTATTAGACGCAGGTACAGTTTGTGAGGCGATGGTCTACAAACACCCAATTAGTTCTTAGGAACAGCCTTGTATATAAATTGCCAGCTGTGCAGCTTTCATTGAGAAGAAGGAGGAGGAGGCAGAGGAGGAGGACTCTGAACTAGGAGGGGCAAATGTATTCCCTGGAAAGACACTAACCCTTTTCATATGGCTCCGTAACGGGCTCTCCTCCTCCCTCATGAAACACTGGAAACCTGTAATGCCCTCATTTTGCAGCCGGCAGTCTGCCTATATGAGCCTGTGGAGGTGACACACACACACACACACACACACTTTCCCATCCTAACCAACAGATCTCAGCTTCATGTTGACAGCTGCCACATGTAGGAAAGTTTTCCAGTGCACTGAAGGAATCGTGGGTTTTCATTGTTCACTTGCTGGGTTTCAGAACCTTTCAGAAAAAGAAAAACTTAATTATTTGATCACTGAAACATTTTCTAAACCTGGCTGGTTCCAAAACACAGGTGACCATCCATTGCTCTGATTACTGCTTTGCACACTCTTGGCATTCTCTCGATGAGCTTCAAGAGGTAGTCCTTCAAGACTGTTGGAAAACCATTTCAGGTGACTACCTCTTGAAGCTCATCAAGAGAACGCTAAGAGTGTGAAAAGCAGTAATCAGAGCAAAGGGTGGCTTTTCTGAAGAAAGTAGAATATATAACATGTTTTCAATTATTTCACCTTTTTTGGTTAAGTACATAACTCCACATGTGTTCATTCATAGTTCTGATGCCTTAAATGGGAATCTCCCAATGTAAATGTTCATGAAAGTAAATGGCCTGTATTTGATATGGCGCCTTCTAGAGTCCTGGAACCCCCCAAGGTGCTTTACAACACAATAAGTCATTCACCCATTCACACACACATTCACACGCTGGTGGTGATGAGCTACAATGTAGCCACAGCTGCCCTGGGGCGCACTGACAGAGGCGAGGCTGTCGGGCACTGGCGCCACAAGTCCCTCCGACCACCACCAGCAGGCAAGGGGGGTTAAGTGTCTTGCCCAAGGACAAGACAACAGAGACAAATTGAGCAGGGCTTAAACCTACAACCTCCCGATTACAGGGCGAGCACCTTCCTCCACTGCCACCGTCGCCCCTGGCGAAGCCCAAAGACAACATGTTGAATGAGAAGGTGTGTCCAGACTTTTAGCCTGTACTGTACGTTGTATTGGACTGTTGCATGTTGTATACCACAGCTCAATGATGCCAGCTAACTGTGGCAGTGCAGCTGGAGTCAATGCAAACTGTTGTGGAGAGAGCCACACTAGACTAACTGAAAGCTATAATGGACAACAGCAGACACAGCAGCCTCCTCGCTGTAGCCTTAGCAACAGCAAGCAATTACACTCACTGTACTGCAGTTAAACACACTCCAATGCCACTTAATAAACCTTTTTATAGTTTTTTTTATGTTTTTAATGTCTATTCATCCAGTGGGTAGTAGCAGGGCATATTTATCTAGAACTTGATATTATCATCCCTTGGAAAAGCAGCTTAAGCCTCTGGGGTATCTGGAGAAGGACAGAGTTCCCTGGACTTACAAAAGTGGTGGCTTCTGTGCAAGTACACTATCAGTATGTTACCCTGTTTGACCTCCAGATTTTCTGCAAACTACCTTTGCCCAATGTAGCATCCAGCAATGGTCAGTTTAGGCACTGTCTGACCTTTCACCATCTATTCAACATCTGGTCAGAAAGGAGACACAACAATGCATGTGTTCCCTTTAAATGAGTGTGCCTTCACACCAGCTGGGATTCACAGACTCTGCAAGCCTGAAAGATAAACAATTACTTTCTTTCCCAAGGTCCCATCTGCCTGCCTCCAGAAGAAACACCTCCAGCTCGAATCAATTGCTAAATTCAAGAATGATTTACTAAATAAATATGAACTTCTATCATGACTTACAATCTAGATAATCATTAAACATTTGTTCATTACTACTTATAATAATTATAGTATAATGAAATGCTTCATTAATCTGTGCACACTGAATGGATGTTATATTATGTGTGTCTACTAGAACCTGCCATGTGTTCCCCATGTTTTGACGACAAGGTCCTCACACCTGCATCCACACAATAACAAGTACGGTCAAGACTAGAACACATAACTTGTTTTTCTTTACCAGTCAGGACTTCTGATATCAAAGAGGGTGTGTTTCTGAGTTGCATTGGTAAAACATCTCCAAACTTGTCAGCCTCTGATTGGCTGTGCAAATCATAACATCAAATCCTTAAAACTAGATCACTTTGGGTGATTTGGTAGTTCTAGAGAAAGCAACAGACCGGCAACTGTCGCAACCTCTTTAACCATCAAAGATTTTGGCACGTTGTCAAAACCTTTTTGCACCTACAAAGCTGAGACAGCCAAATAGTTCCTGCAGAACAAAGCTGATATTATTAGACTCCTTAAGAGTCCTCCAGACGCACGGTTCCATCTAGCTGTCGTGACCCGAGACATCTCTGGACTGAAGAGTCGGTACCACGGTATTCTACAGCCCTCCGGTGCCAGCGGTCAGCCGACCCGTGACTTTCGGATCCACCGAGAGGGTCTCTCTGAAACGGGGTAAAGTAGACACGACAGATTGTGTCTGATGTGTTTGTGAAAGATAACAACTTCATTGTTTAGAGCAAACCAAATTCTTTTTCATCCGGAGACGCCGCTTTCCGAGATTCGGAAGTTCTCACCAACATCACATTGACACATAGCCTTCATCACATTTCGCTACATCCAATCACAGAAAATGCTTAGTTCACTTATCATGTTATAATTGTAATAAAATGATTTCTTACTTTTATAAACCTGACTCTTTGTGTATGATTACTTAATAAAGCAAAAATCCTAAAATCTTCTGATTAAGCCCGATAATCTTCTGATATTTACAATAAAGATCAAGCAAGGTAATATTTAATATTTATACAGAATATCAAATAAATAATTCATTTGCCTCCGCTACACCAATAATGGATGTGTGCAAACCCTGCTGCCAAAGTAGCTGCAGCCCTTATTAACAGCAAATACTCAGGTTTCATGAAACACCGTGTAACATAATTAAACATAAACTAGGTTCACTATTTAAAAAAAAAAAAAAAAAGAGGATCAGGATCCAAGAATTGAATTCTGTCATTTTTTTATTGGGACAAATCAATAAGAAGTGCATGGGAAACATAACAAGTCTGACTTGTAGAAAAACAAATAAACATACAAAAATAAGATTACTGAACTCACATTATCCCATATTAACATGTCAGGCACTTTCAGTCGAATTACTGTTTCCAGATGCAGTAAGTGACGAAACGATGAAACCAGTTTCTGGTTGATTTTGGTCCCTAATGGACTGATCACTGGCTCAGGCCTTCGATACTGGTGTACACACTGAATTTAAACAGACAGAAGTGAAAGGTTTGACTCCTCCACTGGAAGGAAGCAACAAGGCTCAGCATTTCATAAAAGATGAAAAGAAAATAAGTCTGTATAGAGTGTGATTAAACAGAAGTTTATCATTTTAATCATCTGCTCAAGCATCTCCTGACATGCGTGCACTGGCCTGAAGGCACTTCAGTAGTATAGAGGATTGTGCAAATGCTCTGGTGCAGGAGGTGGATGATTATTTTACAAGCAATAGTATCCTTAAAAGCATTTTGACCGCATCAGCCTTCAGAAAGGAAACTAAAAACTGTAGATTTTGTGATTTGGTGTTGTTTCAGCCTCCGTCTAATTTTCAGTTCTGGTGTTTGAATATCATCACTGCTAACAATTTAGTAACAACCCACATTAAATCAGTCAGAGGATGAAGAGGAAACAGTATTTGACCCTTTTCAGAGTCAAGTCTGGACAAAAGCTCTACTAGAACAAAAAAAGTACAAAAATATTCCTGAAAATAATAAGAAAAAATGGATCTTTAACCATTTCACATTTATTTTTATCTGAACTACAAAGAGCTTAAACTGTCACACAGTTTGCAGTAAAAGGACCATAATTTAGATATTAAGACTAGTTCCTGTGATTAACCAAGTGTTTAAATTACTTTCATAAAGTCTTGAAGTTGTGAAACACCAAGTGTTGTCTGTGTTCCTCTGTAGGACAAAATCAGAGTTCTTCAGAAGCATTTTTGGTCCAAACCCCAAAAAGGTGTAAGGATTCAGATCACGACTGTCTGATGAATGTAATTCACAAAATACTTTGTGTAACACCTGATGTTTCATACTAAATCTCAACGATGTCACAATTAGCTGTATCCAACACTGAAAAAAAACTTTCAAACCAGGTAGACTTCTGAAGACTTTAAAACAGGCTAACCACAACCTGCCCATTACCGGTAACTGTTAGGTGGCTGGGGGAGCAGGCCACTAGAGAAAACCTTCCAACAGTCTAAAGTGCTCACGGCTGTTGCCTCAAATAAGAGTTGTTTATTCTGTTCGAAGACTGATTAGGACGGATGCAGAAGCTCCAGCAGGGCTCCAACAGCACCAAAGTACCCCTAAAAACAGCCAGGGCATAAAGGTCAAGTTAGAAATCACCACCAATCAACAAGAACCTGCATTAGTGGCGGGCTGCTCTGTGTGACCTGCCTCGTGGCGGAGGAAGAGAGCTTTGAGCTGGCCTTTAGACCAGTAGTCCATGGCATACGCCAACAACTTCATAGAAAGGGTGTTCACTCTCAGGAAGTTCCCAACAAACACCACTCGCTCAATGTTCTGAGTGGAAAACAATCAGACACAAAGAAATATTAGTAGGCAGTAACATCACAGGTGGATTAAACAAGACTTGATTTAGCCTGGGCAGATGTGTGGACCACCTCCTCTACGCCTTCATAGCCCTGTACAATGCTGCTTGATCAAGATGCAACAAGGCAGCACCGTAAAGAGGCTGAAGGCAAACAGGAATCAGCTGACAGCCGCTCTGTGGAAAGTCTCAGATTACTTTTGAATCTGTTCCAGTGTTAATATCCATGATGAAATATTTTTGGGTTTTTTGTGACAAAAGATTTTATTGCAGATGACAACTACACTGAAAAGAGAACCTTCTCTTTAAACAAAATTATGACGAGTATTGAGCAAGATTTTCAATGAAAGACAAAAACAAAAATTGACAGTAATGAAATCAGAAAATGGGAAAGATGGGAGGAACTGACAAAATGACCAATCAGCAAATGGGACAGGCGGGACTAGACAGGAAGAGAACCAATCAGTGCAGAGCCGGCCGCTGTTTGAACAAGCTGCCGGTAATTGTTGAAACATTTTATATCTAAAAGGAGAAAATGTATACTATTGGGAGGAAAAGTATTAGAGAGACAATGTATAGTTTTTACCGCTCATCTCTGGAAATACCCATCGAAACATTGTTTAAAATGAATAAAATGGCATCCAGTTGTTGAAAAACATTTGACGTTTTTGTAACATATAACCTTAAAAATCTAATCTGAAGGACATAGGACATGGGCATAGCATCTTTGGGGGACACTATGGGTGTCTCTCAACGCCAAGCAACCTCGCCTTGATGTCTTGGTCCCGCCCCGGTTTCCTAGGAGATATGTCATCAGGAACCGCCAAGGCGTGTTCCAATGTTCATGTTCTACCGAGGCGTGTGTTCTCCGTTTGTTAGCTGTTTAGCTAGCTGAGCAAGGGTACATGGGAGGTGTCTTGTAGCCTAGCCTTGGTCAAAAATTTCCCAGAATACATCTCAGTATTTTCAAAAGGATGGTGGATCAGAAGCCAGCAGCTACTTCGGGGGCAAATATGGTTGGTTAGTTGCTTAGTAGTTGCAGCTTCGGTGGCTAGCAGGTGGTAGTTCGCTTACATATTTAGTTTTAACAAATATAAACACAATTCAAAAAGTAAAGGGCTCATTATACATTTATATTGAAACTAATACTTATAAAATATAACGTTATCTCACGTGTCATGTGACCGCCGCGGTCATGTGATGCAAGTCTGTTACATTTAACTGTTTTCTATGATCAAGGAAGGACAGTGTCCTCGTAAGCAAGGTGCCTAGCCTTGCAAGATTTCGCCTTGCGAGGCCAGGCGCCTTGACATTGAGAAGCACCTCCTTCTGGCTGGGTCGGGGTCCTGCTCCTATTGATGACATCACAATAGATGACTGGCTGGCTGTATGAGACAAGTTGCGTTACCACATTCAAAAACATTTAGGCCGTAAGAAACACAAATTTAATAACATAACTGCTAAACTCTTATGTGAGAGAACAGAATTGAAAAAGAGATGCGATAAATGATGGCTGAGCAGTATTGCTGTAGTATAATAATGCATTGAACTTATATAGCGCTTTTCTAGACACCCAAAGACGCTTTCACACACTCTCACATTCACACACTGCTAGTGATGGTAAGCTACTTGTAGCCACAGCCGCCCTGGGGAGGTCTGACAGAGGCGAGGCTGCCATTTGGCGCCATCGGCCCCTCTGACCACCACTAACACAGGCAAGTTGGGTGAAGTGTCTTGCCCAAGGACACAACAGCAGGACACCCCTGGCGGGAGCTGGAATCGAACCCATGACCCTCCGATCATGAGGCAACCCGCTCTACCACCTGAGCTACTGCTGCCCCATGTATGATGATGTCATCGGCAGGCACAGGACTCAGAGCATTTCCAGAAACTACAGCACCAGAAAACTACAATCAGCATTGTATTCTCCTGATGGAATTAACTGAAGGACCATCCACCGAGGTTGCATACTTTCTGCTCCACAGATAACAGCATTTACCGTAATGTTTTTATAAACTAGCAACAGTGCCGCTATGGCCATAATAATATCAGCTTTCAGTGTTCTAGTGATGTTTTTGTGAGAAAAACGTTCAGGCAGCCCACCTTGGTAAAATAATGCAGGAAAACTTATATTTATTTAATAAATACACCAGAAAACAATTCTTACCTTTAGTTTACCTCCTCGTATTATTAAAGTAACACCTTTAAATGTTTTGATGATATGATGTCCTTTCATGTCATGTTTACAAATATTACAGCACATTATACAGATTTGTTTATTATTTTAAGAGACACAATCAAATCAATCTGTCAAGTGCGTATTTTGGTTTTTCATTCATTTGTATTAAAACAATAATAAATATAGAATTTTATTGATCCAAAGTGTGAAATGTGCACTTTCCTATTTTTTTACGGTTTCAAGTAGGTGTAGTTGAGATTACCTTTACATAAGTTTAAACTTACTGTGTTATCAATTTCTATTTAGTCGACTAAAATAAGACTACAATTAAAACAAATTGGACAACTAATTGTGACTAAAATGAAAAAGAATTTTAGGCAAAAGACTAAAACCAAGTGAAAATGTCAAAATGAACACAGCTTTGTTCTTTTTTTTTTCTGCCCTGTCTTCCCTCCTCACAAACCAAGCCCCCTTCATGGTTTACCTCATTGAGAGCACACATTCTGGTGATGGAGCCGATGTTATTGGTGATGGTGACCAGGGTTGCCCTTGCAAGGTCCTCTTTGGACACCGACTCTCTTTTTTCTTTGGACATCATGTTGCCAAAACTAAAAAAGAATCAAACAAGATTCATAATGGAGGTAGCATAGTCCTGAGGTGTAGAAGTGACTGCGTAGCCAACGTTCAAAGACCAAAACTGGTTTAAGGAAAATAGACAAACTGGTGTGGCCATTTATGAATCATCTATTCATATGTTGGTTCGTATTAATGTTAAACTTTGTGTTCAAGTAAATGAAATGATAACCACACCACAGTGAGGAGTTGGGGAAACTGAATTTGCTCTGCTTCACTGAAGATCTGTTAATGTTGGAATCCACCTTTTAAAAAGGCTTCGAACCAACAGTAAGAACAACAGAAGCAGCTGTAAACCGCACCTTGAGGCCACAGCCCAGCCCGGCAGCCCAAACCTCTCATAGTCTCCTCCATAGATGTCCCGAACCAGCTTGTCCACACGGGTGCTCTCCCCTTCAGAAGCCATTTCTAGAGCTTCCTCGAAAGTAGAGCAACCAGTCAGCAGGCAACACAGGCCGAGGAAGGTCCCACCACCAAGGCTGGCAACACACACACACACACACACACACACACACACATTTAAAATAATTGAATTACTACAGAGTGTCTGTTTTAATTCAATCTGCTCCAATTTATTTCTTTGTTTTCTAACCGCCAAACCTCCAGGGCCTCTCTTTAAGTCTCTTACAAATTTCATCTTTATCTTTCTGATTTCTGTGTTTTCTGATTTTTATACTTTACCTCATCTGAAACGTCCTTGTTATATGGTGGGTTAGTGAAACATCAACAGCAAATTCAGTTTTCAGCCCAACAGAAAACTCAAGATGATTGTTAAACATATGTCTGTAAACCATCTTATCTAAAATATCCCAATGTTCTGTAAAGTACTTCACATTAATGTCTCATGTGAGTAAATAAACTACTTCCTTATAAAAAATAAAGGTGAAACATGTCCAACTTTGTTTATGTATAAACGTAAGAATAGTTTTGAACCATCTAACTTCTTGTTTGACTCACTGATCATGTCCAGGACACTAAAGTTTCTTCTGCTGTTTAGTTGAAAACAACTTTTATTCACATTATTACTAGTTATATTGGTCATCTAGCTAATGTATTTCCATGTAGGAGCTAGGTGATGGTGATGCTAGCACCAGCTCGCCTCCTGTCTGTGACTGCGTTAGCACACATCTTCTTGTGGTTCTGGTTTATGGCACAAGGATTAGGACAATATTACATGCAACTTGTACCAAGCTTTGTAACCTGTAACATATTTTGTAACTTTCATTTTGTAACTTGTAATTCTTGTTTTGTAACACGAAACTTTCATTTTGTAACTTGCACAAAACAATCAATGTGCAAGTTTCAAATCAAAACTCTCAAAACTCACATCTCATTTCAAGATGGTGGATGACCACGGAGCGTCGACCACAGTTTATGTATTTAGAAATGTAAAACTTCAAGCTAAGAAGAGTATTTACAATTGATGTTGGTGAGAAATATTAATGAAAAAGGGCAAGTTTGTGCACTGAATACACAGAATTTGGTAGGAAACCGGTAAAAATATTACACTCTGGGGCTTCAACATTCCAGATATCCATAAGAAAATTCTTACCGAATGAACATTCCAGATATCTCAAATATTCATTCTAGACATTAAGAGTCATTCTGGTAAATAAAATCTTTGACATTATAGATATTATAGATATATCGGCCAGCCGATATATTGGGCTGATATATTCAATTTTTTCTATATTGGCTGAAAATATTTTTAAGAGCCAATAACAAAATAATAAATAGGCACGTGTGTGGCCAACTACCGTCACTACTAGACTGAAGAAATTACCCGAAGGACCCCAACACACCGTTTTCTTTTTAATGTTTTGAGTTTGTTTTATATTTGAAGTTCAATAAATGTTAAGAGATTTGTCTTTAAGAGAGTTGTCTTCCACAATCAATGTGCTGCTAAATCATATTATATATATATATATATATATATATATATATATATATATATATATATATATATTATCAGCCTTAATAATTGGCTTTAGATGTCGGCCATCAGCAACAAATTTTTTTTTTTTTATCTGTATCTGCCTTAAAAACACCATATCGATCGGCCTGTATTATAGAACGTAACTGTATTATAGAACGTAAAAGTTAGTTACTTTGCTAGGTAACTAATTACTTTTACAATGCAGTAACTGAGTTACTCACTTAATTACTTTTAGGAAAAAGTAATTTGTAACTATAACTAATTGCTTTTTCAATGTAAGATGCCCAACACTGGTTAAGTGGCATGAAAAAAATGTTTGAAGCTAATTAGCTTTCCAAATTTGCCATTTCAGCTTTAAAACTGTGCTGCAGTCTCAGGTTTCATGACAGACGACTTTCTAGGATTTGACACATAATCAATGATGTAGAGAAAGGACGCCATGTACCATTTAATGTCAATCAAACTGTCCGCATTGGGCTAATGTAGGTTAAGCTGTTAGAATCTTTGCTAACTGACAGTGCTCGATAGAGTAAAATGTGGAGAAACCACCCAATCACAGCAGCGTCTAATAGAAATTATGGTTTTCTAAAGTGAATTTATATTTATATGGTTATTGTGTCATTACCTGGTCCCAGTGACTCGTTTATAGTTATTCTCCGAGTAGACGGCCAGGATGCTGACCCCAGAGCCAATATTCACCAGCAGCAGAGGATATGGGTTCTCTAGCAGATAGGGTTTCTGAACACAGTGGTCTGGATCGGTGGGGTTTTCAAAGTAGTAGCACTCAGAAGGTCCACTGGACATCACTGAGTCAATGTACAGCACCCCCCGGACCAAACAGTCCAGCTCATCCAGTTTGTGGAGCTGCAGGTCCGCCATCTTTAATATATATATATTAAAAAAAAAGACATCAGGGACATTGTCAGGACTGTTCAATGGGGAGAAATTAATAAAACACAGGAGGAAACTGCAGAAAGAAGGTGCTGGGGGCCAAACCCACCGTACGGAAGTCATTTTCAAACTTGTAAGCGCCCCCTCCTGTGGCACAGAGGGTGGTGTGGAGGCTGGAGAAATGCTTGTTGCGACCCATTTGTAGGAATACCGGGAGGTCGTGCGTGGGGAAGCGAATAAAGTGTAGGTTGCCCTTCCTGCCACACAACGTCAGGTCCTGCAGCTCCAGGTGTACATCCCTGATGCCAGTTGTACCATAGGCTATGTTGGAGGTTAGATAGCGCCGGATGCTTTTCAGGTTCTCCACCTCTTCCTGCTCCTCCTCAGCTGTGATGTCTTTGGGCTCAAAGTAAACAAGCTTCACCAGGGTGCCTCCGATGTCCATCCCAAACCACGGAAATGCTGCAATATGGGAAACCATTCATGCAAGAGCCTTTCAGGAACATCATTCATCATTAGATCAACGCACACATCCAAATGCTTTGTGCAGAGGTGCTGCATAACCATTAGTACTTTGATGCCATGTTGATGGAGATGCCAACACACCAGTCACACTGAACAGATGTGAACCACAGCAATGTAAACAAACTACATAACTAGTCATACAGCCGACACTTGGAAACAATCAGGAAGAAAATCTGCATTGTATTGCCTTCATCTTCCTTATTGGTTAAACAACTTGTCATGGTCTGTGTCTGCCCCTTCCTGCATGTGTCTCCTGATGTTTCTCCATCCTCTCTCGAGTCCCTTCTGTGTCTCATAGCGCCCTCATGTGTCCTTTGTCTGCGTCTCAATTATGTGTCTTATGTTTGTAGCCCTTTAAAGTCTATTCCTCCCAAGTCCTGTGTCATTCATTCATCCCCAGCCCTCCAGGTCTTCCTTCACGTTCTGTAGCTCCAGCCTCTTTGTCCCCAGCTCTGTGTGTGTGCCATCCCCTGCTCAGTGTGTGGTGTGTGTGTGTGTGTGTGTGTGTGTGTGTGTGTGTGTGTGTGTGTGTGTGTGTGTGTGTGTGTGTGTGTGTGTGTGTGTGTGTGTGTGTGTGTGTGTGTGTGTGTGTGTGTGTGTGTGTGTGTGTGTGTCCATTCCCCAGTTCATTGTATGTGTGTATGAGTTTGTGTGTGTCAGTATGTGTATGTGTTTGTGTGAGTCCTTCCCTCAGTCTTAGGTTTAGTTTTAGGTTTAAGTTTTTCTGCCCTCCATTGGTTCTGTTTCCCCCATTTAGATCATTTGTGTCACCTGCCTTCCCTCCAGCCCTCACTCCACACACCTGCCTCCTGTTTCCTTAATTGTTCTCCCTGTGTATTTAAGCCCTGTCTTGTCTCTAGTTTGGTGTCGGTCCATTGTGGTATTTCTGTCAAGTCTTCTCTAGTCTCTAGCTTTGAATCTCAGTCTTTTCTAGTCTTAGTGTTTCGTCTCTAGCTCAGTAATTGAATATTTTAGGACTACTGGCTCCCTGCCTTTGGATTTATTTTTGCTTGATCTCGGCTTATCCAAATAAAGGATATTTTCTTATTTCACCTCCTGCCTTGTGTCATCTTGGGTTCTGCATTTTGGGTCCTACCAATGTGACACAACTACTTTAGTGTTTGAATGTTAAAAGGTTAGATCTCTAACTCTGTTAACCAGAAGTAAGTTTAGGTCTTTTTTTTTTACATAAAAATATTATATACCACTGTCAAAACAATAATATGCAACCATAGATATTAATTAATGGGCGATTTATCAAATATTCCTCTTAATAACCAGTGTTTAGCTTTTTCCTCAGATAGGTACCATGGAAGATGCATTGTGGGTAGCGTATCAATCCTAGATAGAATGAAAATCATTGGTAATGTTCTCCATCCCTCTCAGCCCAGCTCTGTAGCAGATGAAGGCTGAACTGACTGACACCTAACATGTAAATGATGCATATTCTACCATTTTGAACCACCTCTGCTACACATCCTTCGTTTTTAACTACTGATGGGTCTACTGCTACTGATTCTGTCACACGCAGTTTTTATATATTTTTAATTATTTCCTAAAAAATACATTTAAATTTTGCGCATTAGCTTTGGACTTCTGCCTTATCCGCTGCTAAATTACAACCCTCCGGGTTTTAATGATCTAATTCATATCAGTGTAATAGATTAGTAACGATGGAGCCACCTGGGTGGATGTGCTAACAATAGCAGCTTCATTCCCAGCAGCAGTACAGTGTGTACCGCGAACGCCATCTTGTTGCTAAATAGATTCTGTTTACAGCCATCATCTATAAAATAACGCATCCAAAAGACCCGCTGATTGTGCGTTTATGATCAAACCCGCACGCATTATGCTTTACACAGCAGGTAATAATAAAGTGTAGGATTTCTCACCGGCTGTTATTAGTTCCAGCTCCGACTGTTTTTAGGAAACGCCTTTAAATTTTCATAATCAAGACCCCTTCCCTTGTTAAGACGAAGCCCACGCTGTCAACACTTACGCGGCCTGGTCTTTTTAACCGAGTCTTTCCGATGCCTCGGTGTCGCGTTGGACGCCCAGCGGTCGGATGTAGAAGGTCCTGCGGGCGCGGCTGCCTCGTTTTGGGGGTCGTTTCTGAGGTGACCGGGCATCTCCTTGTTGCACCGCGGCAGCTTCGAAGGCGTTTCATCTTCGTCCACAATCTCATTATCGTGCTGGTGGCCGTTAAACGCCATTGAACTAGTTCACTACATATATGGTGCACGTTTTAAATAAATCGCTAAACATCTAACCCTTTGAAGGAAATACAAACCAAATGTTAGCAGGCGTAATTAGCTGGCTAAATAGACTGTTTTAAATGGCTGAGCTCCGCGATGGTAGCCGTCAAGATGAAGTGGGCGGGGTTTGGACGGGATTGAAGGAAACCTTATCCAATCAGAAAACGAGTTTACAAAATTAGGTGATGCCACTTTTCATAAAGTCAAATTTAAGACATTAGTTTACAAAAAAAACGCACGAAAGCATGCATAACATCTCGGCCACAGTTATATTTCATTATGATTGAGAAAAATTAGCTTTAGGTAGGTTACAGGGAAGCTGGGGGGGGGGGGGGGGGGGGGGTAAGTTATTATAAGGGTCCATGACTGACAGGGGTCCATTTTTATTTCAACTTGAAAATTCATTTAAATAAAAAATACTTATTCATGGGGACCCACATCCTTGGCAGCATCCCTGGTAATGAAAATCTAATTTACACATTTTTAAAATATACAATGCAAATTTAAATGCATACTAACATGGTAGCACAGGTGAAATTATTTAATCAGCTCCTTCACGTGCCTTTTCTCTGTCATCTTATTGAAAATGCCATGACATAAACAGTTAGTGTGTGGATTTAAAGTGTGTGGAATATTCTCCAAAAATCTTCTTCAAACACAGCAATAATCAACTTGTCACTTTGGAAAGTCAGCATAAGGAAAATCCAGAGCTTCACAGCTGCAATCAGGCAGTTAAGAAGCTGCCACTGAAAATGGAGCAGCACGTCAGTCACTTTCATGGCTTATTCACACCAGCACAACCACTCCAGCATAAACACAGGCATTCTCGTTCGTTCACCTCAAAGTCTCTGTAAATTGTCCTTACTTGAAACTGGTTGTTTTTATCACTATCTGCCTTGACAAAAATACTTGGTCTGGAAATCTTACATGAGTGTTGCATCTTGGGGCAGCAGTAGCTCAGGAGGCAGAGCGGGTTGCGTCATGATCACGTGTTCGACTCCAGCTCCCGCCAGGGGTATTCTGCTGTTGTGTCCCCGGGCAAGGCACTTCACCCAACTTGCCTGTGTTGGTGGTGGTCAGAGGGGCCGACGGCGCCAAATGGCAGCCTCGCCTCTGTCAGACCTCCCCAGAGTGACTGTGGCTACGTAGTAGCTTACCATCACTTGCAGTGTGTGAATGCGAGAGTGCATGAACGTGTCTTTTAGTGTCCTAACAGGCACTATATAAGTTTGATGTATCATTATTAATATTATCTACAATTATCTGTTTCTGGGTCAAAGTTCATCTGATCAACTTTGGTCACTCCAGAGATCCTGATTGAGCTCCTGTTCAAAGCCCCCTGTTGCCATGATGACCTGTTGCATGCCACTTACGTAAGTATGTTTGTGTTTATATATTGAGCAGACGCTTTTGTCCAAAGCGTCTTACAGGTAATAATCAAGCCAGCAGGTTGCCCTTGAGGCTAACAACAAACACTTCAGGCAGTCCTAGGTGGCAGTGAGGCAGCATAATCGATCACAGGGGGAAGCAAACAAGGAGTGTGCAGTAGAGTGAGGGACGGGTGCTGAGAGGGTGCTAGTTTAGAAGATGCGCTCTGCTGGGTCTTAAGTAGGGTTCACCCTCTACTGTTTCGTTGCTGCATATGCACAAAGTAAATTAATGTATTTTATTTATTTTATTTGCTTCACTGAACTCAGGTAGGACCGATATATCTGGTCTTTAGTATTTCATTAGAACCCGCTGCAGCAAACTGGACCGGACAGGTCTGGGAGAAACCTCACACTGCCATCATCAGTTGGTGGAATCTAGACAGGATCTTCAATATCAGACTTGCTTTGAGGAAGGTGGTTGGGTTGGACAGATAGTTGCTCGCAGAAAACTGGTTGGTTTTGTGTGGTGTAAACAGCATCCGTTCGCAGCTCTCTTTGGAGAAATCTGGTGCATTTGGTGAATAACTATCTTAATATTTATTCACTGCTCAGGAATCATGGAGTACAAAGTTCTCTTTGTCTTCTCAAAAAGCCATCCAGCTTTCCCGTCAGAACAAAGGTCCTCTGAGCGACAGCTGTTTTACAAACAACTCAGGTATGAGCGCCTGGCTAGCTTCAGAGGAACTAGCTTTGCAGAAACACGTGAACAAAGTGTGTCTGCATTGAAATCTGACAAGTCTTCTCATCAGATTGAGTCCAGAGAGGAAACAAAAAGTGTCTTTTTCAAGACAGCAGTGTCTGTGGACACCAGCAGAGGTTTAACATCTATCTCCACAAAAAACTCCGTTCTGTGAAGAAGAAGAAAATATCTTTTCTATGGCACCTCTCAAGATAAAAATCACGAGGCGCTTCACAAAAACAAAAAATGTAAAAATATAAAAAAGCATTTAGAAAATGTTTAAAAATATATTTAAAATGAGCAAAAATAGACAATTGTGATTAAAAATGTTAAGAAAGAGAGAGAGAGTGAATAGGAAAGAGGGAAATCAGTGGATCCTGAGGAAGGTTGAATGGGTGGGGAGAGCAGAATAAAGAGAGAGTGGTGAAGAAGGTCATACAAAAGCCAGCTTGAACAAGTGAGTCTTCAGCTGCTTTTTAAAGGAGACCACTGAGTCCACTGATCTCAGGCTCAGGGGGAGAGAGTTCCAGAGTCTGGGGGCCACAGCAGCAAACGATATGTCACCTTTGACCTTTAGCCTGGTGCTGCACAACCAGTAGGCTTTGATCACTGGACCTCAGGGACCTGCTGGGGGTGTAGGGACTAAGAAGATCACCAATGTAAGATGGTGCTTGTCCATGTAAGGCCCTATAGACCAGAACCAGGATCTTGAAATGAACCCTGAAGTTGACTGGCAGCCAGTGAAGCTGGAGGAGAAGCGGGGTGATGTGGGTGTGTTTGGAGGACTTGGTCAGAAGCCGAGCAAAGGTATTCTGAACCACCTGTAGACGGTTCAGGGAGGTTCTGCTCAGACACGTGAAAAGAGAGTTAGAGTAGTCTAAGCGTGAGGAGATGAAGGTGTGGATAACTGTCTCAAGTTCAGAACGGGACAGAATGGGACTCAGCTTAGCAACGTTCCTGAGATGGAAGAAGGAAGAGCGAACAAGAGAACTGACATGAGAATCCAGGGTGAGAGGTGGGTCAAAGGTCATGCCAAGATTCCTGACAGAAGGTTTGGTGTGAGAAGCAAGCTGACCAAGAGAGTCTCTGACTTTGGGAACCAGCTTGTCTGGGGCACAGATGAGGATCTCAGTCTTATCTTCATTCAGCTGAAGAAAGCTCCCAGCCATCCAGGGTTTGATAGAGTCTAAGCAGGTGTGTAACAGCTGCAGCTTAGACATCTCATGGGGCTTAAAGGAGATGTACAGTTGGATGTCATCTGCATAAAGATGGTAGGAGATTCCTTTGAAGGAGCTCAGGATGTGCTGAAGAGGAAGCAGTTAGAGGAGGAAGAGCAGAGGCCCCAGCACAGAACCTTGTGGGACACCATGGGTAAGAGAGGTGGTGGAGGACCTAAACTTGGAGACGGCCACAGAAAAGGAGCGCTCAGAGAGATAAGAGGAAAACCACTCCAGAGCAGATCCTGATAGGCCTACCCAGGCTGTGGGCTAATCGTGAAGACACAAGATATAAAATGCTGGCGCGTTACAGAGGAATTTCCTTAGCTGAGATAAGGCAGCCATCTTCTCTCCAGCTCAAGGATGCTCCTCGCATTCAGTTGCTGGGGAAAAGAAAGCATTTGAGTGACGGAGGTCATGAAAATGCTGATTTCCCCAGCTCTGTCTGAGGACACCCCTCAGCAGAAACGTCCCACTATGATTAGACTCAAAGGTCGTCGCAAAGAGACGGATTCAGCACCCACACATGTCTCCAGACCCCCCAAAACTACACCTACCACCAAAGCTGAGCAGCCTCCCACCCCAGTAATCTGGATAATTGGTTCCAGTTACATCAGACGGGGTGAAGAGGCGGCTCAGAAGCAGTTTGGGGCAAACTTTAGTCTCAAAGCCACTGTCCAGTGGTTTGGCAAAGGAGGCATGCGCTGGGGGGGGCGTCCTACCCAGCTTTTATTCTTCCACACACGGTCCCCCTGACGTTCTGGTTGTCCACACTGGAGGAAACGATCTGGGTCTCGTTTCTCCGGTGGACCTGGCTTCTCTGATCTAAAGGGATTTGTCCCAGCCAGCTCCGCACGGACTTCCCACAAATGAGAAATGTGAAGAACACTTTGACCAAGTCTCAGAGAACACATTGTAAAAAGTTAAACCCAACTGTGACTTCTGAAGGACACTCCTGTTGTTTTTCAGGTCGGTTTCTCTTGACTGCTTTACTTCATCAGATCCAGTCTGCTCCTCCTCACCTGCAGGTACCTTCAAGACATAATATGGACAAAAAGACATGGATCGCCACCTTAAAACTCACACCGGTGAGATGTCAAATTCTGCAGGAAGTATGGAAGGCCAAAGTTCAAAACTTGCCCCACTTCAATTGAAATTTGAATAACTGCTTGAAACTTCAACTAGAATTGGTTGCAACACAATAAAATTTACGAGGACTATTTGCCCAGTTAACATGATCATCATTCATAGATGCTGGAAAATCTTGAAAACTCACCTTGAAAGTGCTTGAATTTGATTTTTGAGAAGCGCAAGAGCGGATCTGATATGTACAGCTCTGATTTGTGACAAAAGGAGCTGCTGGTCTTTTAACAGCACCACCTCTCCTAATGCCCTCTGGAACGTGTGGTTTTAACATCTCTGTCCCATGTATAAATTAGACTTCAGGGTGCAGAGCTGGTCCAGCATTCCATAGCCAGGATGAAACCAAACTGCTCCTCCTGAATCCAAGCTTCGTCTGTCCGATTGACCCTCCTCTCCCGAACCCCAGAATTTTAACTTTATTCTAAAAGTGATTACATTTCCAAGACAGGTTTAAGATTAAGGAGAAAAAATGCCAAATTCAGAGTTTTTTTAACTGTAGTAATTCAGAGAGCTAAGAAGTGGTGGTGGTGATACATCCTGAGTATAGGGTGATTTATGTACAGATGCATACGATTAGTTCACTCTGGTCAGAAATGGTTTGATTTATCTTCCAGTGAACAGCAAAGACCAGCTCATAAAAATTATGCTTACAATTACGGATTTTATTCATTGCAACAAAGTAGGTGTATAAACTTATGGCAGCTTCAAATGAAAATAAACATTTACACTGAATCTTAGGGCGGTCCAGATTTTGGATTTATCCCATGACTCCTTTTGAGCGCAGGTAACAGTAAATAGTTTCATACACATCACACCCTAAGTACCAAGACCAATACTAGTCTGCTACACTTGTCCTATGGTCCGTTTCCCCAACCTGAAATAAAATTAACTACATGAACATCCATGGTGATTACTAAGTTTATTTATCACAACACTGAAGTGCATAGCTGAAGAAAGAAAAGGTGCAGAAAAAACATAACCAGGGTTTTACAAGTCATGAGAAATCACATTTACCTGCATCTGTGTTGTTCATATAAGATCATAACTTTGCTACATCTTCTGGATTAAAGCATGTTCAGAAAATGTTTGTGTATCTTTTTACAGTGCAATCCAAGATAAGTTTCAACTTAGATTATTGCCAATAAAATTTTAGATCTAACTTTTGCACGTCTCTGAAAAGACTTGAACGCTCCTCATTTCCAACTTAACACACATTTCTAATGTCATCAGTCACACACACCTGTCATTAAAACATTCTTGTTCAAAGTTAAACTGGAAGATGATGCCATTCTCGATTTTGCAGCCAGTTTCCTACAATAGGAAACAAAACCCCTAAAAAGACCCAAAATAAAACGTATTATGGTTTCCCTGATTCTTGGACTCGAAGTAGTCTTAAACTAGTGCTTTGGGGTACTTTTAAAATTGAGTTTCTTTAAAAAATATATATCTAGAGTATTTTTGTTTATGTACAAATAAATACATAGAGCTCTAGTCACCATTAGCAGCCCAAATCCCCGGGGATTTTAACACAAAGGGATGTTTAAAATATGCAAAGCTGCTCTCCTCCTATAATCCACATCAACCCAAGTCCTGATAACCAATCTCACAAGCAGTGGCCTTCTCCAAATCAGCAGACAAGATTATGATTAGAACAAAGCTTCAGCATCATTAAGTCTCTTTAAAATCCTCATTTGCATCAAGTGCAAAACAAACCAGACGTCCCAACAAAAATCAGAAGTGAACCAAATAAAACCGGTGGTTTCCATTTGGCTGTTTTTAGTTACAAAGTTAATTTGTTCATCAGTAAAATCAGTCAAAGCTAAAACCAACATGATTGACCCACATAATTAAAGTCTATCATAGGCAGTTGTTACACTGATGTATCAGGCTATCCAGTGGCTGCAGGAAAAGACCAAACCTTTACATTTAAGTTTTACATAAAACCTGTGATGGAACACTTTACCTGACCAGGTGTAACCATGCCTCTCACTATCTACCTGCTGGAGGCGACATCAGCTCAGCACAGCCCAGAGCAGGAACGGCAGGTAAAGCAAATGACTGAATAAACGAGTTGTTAAAATTGTATGTTTTCTGCCATTAAAGGTTTTCATTTCCTAAACCTCCATGCCATCAGCAGCACGCAGGCCCCGACTCCTGCAGCACCCAGAATGTATTTAGTGGTATTTGATTGGTAGACAGAGGTCCCCGTGTTTTTCTCCGATTTCTGCTGGGATTTCAGATCAGGTGAAAAACTAGCTGCAGAGGGGTTGTAGCCCTCGTTAGCAAGATAATTAGCAGAACTGGTGAATCCTGGAGCTTCGGAGGAGCTTTCATCAGATCTCTCTCTGTTGGCAGGGCGAAGAGACTGTGTGGGTTGACCATTCAGGTTAGGAACAGAGGGCATTTCTGCATACTGCATCATACTCTCAACCACCTCGAAGCTCTGATTCGGAGACTCGTAGTGGTTCTCTTCAGGTTCGTTGTGGTTCGGAGTAACGCTGTTGTTGTGGCAGGGCGGCGCCGGGCTCACTGTGTCCGAGGTAGACTCGCTGATTTCCAGGCGCTCACTGTTACCAGAGAACAGCTGTGCAGGTGAGCTGGAGGCTGGGACAGGTGCGATGGCTTGGCTTTCTGGATGGACGCTGAACAATTGGCCCGGCTTGCTCAGACACACGTTCTCATCGTCATCGTCATCATCACAAGACTCTGCAGAGGCTGTAGCTGCTGCAGCCTTCGTCTGTGGGCTGCTGTTAGCAACCTGTGGGTGAAAATCGTGACATTTTATTTTATCGCTGTTCTGCAAATACAGAATTAACGTAGAAAACTGAGAAGACATCATAATAAATGTCTGTGGCTGAATTGTTGTAATCAGTGCAGCTGAACGCTAGACTCAGAGCCAGGACGCCTGACTAACATTGGATCAGTCCCCGTGGAGACACTCCACCACAGTGTAGTGACGTGCTTTACAACTGAAATGAATAGATCAGGAGTGAGTCAAAGCTGGTAGTCACCTGTGTAACTGCAGGTTCAGAAGTCTTAGCCAGTGGAGAAGTGGACAAGGGAACTTTGTGGACCGGAGGTGCGGTGTCCTGGACCGGAAGCTTCTCTGGAGTCATTAAACGGGAAGAAGATCCGTTGTTTAAATCTGGGTTAATCTGACAAGGGGATGGGCTCTGCTGTGGGGAACGGGACGTGTCCCTTTTCACGGCCGGAGCAGGAGGGTAGTGTTGAGGAGGAGCAACAGCTTTGCTTCCTGACCTCATCTCACCTGGAGTTAGGCGAGCATCTCCAGAGGCATCATGGATGTCTGATTCAGAGTTTTCACTCAGATTCTGGGGAGCATGAACCTCTTCCCGTGGGGCTTCGGGAGAAGGCGGAGGGGTTGATGGAGGAAGTGGAACTTGATTCAGGGTGGACTGTGAAAGCTCAGGGACCGGTTCAGGTGGGGAGAGGGCTTCAGCCTGGCCAGCTTGCTGATGTGTGGGGGGAGCCAGGGGAGCTGGTTCTGGATTAGCTGGAGGAGGTACCACTGGGGGAGCCACAGCAGCAGCTGGTGCTGGATGGACATGAGCTCTGATGAGTGTTGTTGGGGTGGAGCTGGGGTTAGGATCTAGGACGAAGAATACAGCGGTGATATTTACATTTGTTATTTATTACTTAATTACAGCTAGGTTCATTCTAGAAAATACAAAGCAAGTGTTTTATTTATCCAATGCGCAAATATTAAAATATGATTCTGAACCAAAACGATGATTGTAGTAACATTAATTATGAAACAGAAGAAAATGTTGAACGCGATCAAGGCCCTGTCCACACGTAGACGGGGATCTGCCAAAACGTAGATATTTTTCTACGTTTTGGCCTGTCATCCACACGAAAACGGAGTTTTTTCACACGAAAACGGATCTTTTTAAAAACTCCGGCCAAAGTGAAGATCTGCGTTTTCTCCGTTTTGGGTGTCTGCGTGTGGACAGACAAAACCGAAGTTTTAAGCTCCGCAACGTCACTTTCCGCGACAAAAAAATGCTGACATCACGTGTGCGACCTGTGTTTACACTAGCCGACAGCATGGATGCCCTCAGAGCTGCGCTCGCTTTATCAATTGTCCAAGCGCTTTTTGCTTGTTTGTTTTTGCAAGCGGAATTACTGCTCCTTGCGGAAGACCACAGACGAAGGACGAGGTTAAGAACGGGGGAAGTACTGCCGCCTACAGGTCTGGCATGTCCTTAACAACGTATTTATCCGGGTACGTGTGGACAGAGTTTTTTTTTTTTTTAAAGGAGGTGGTGTGGATGCAAGTTTTTGGAGGGGCGGATATTCGTTTTTTTAAAAACCCGGCTATGTGTGGACTAGGCCCAAAGCTGAAGCAGACAAAAAGCCAGAAAAGGCATGAATGAAATCTGGGACGTTTGGGTTTGTGTGTCTGCTCCTGACTCCTCTCACAAAGAGCAGGCGCCGCTTCAGCCGCGTGTGAGCTTGGTGCTTTCTGATTGGCCTGCCCACCATTTACACACACATAAATAAAGATAATCTTTTATACAAATTACACACTTTAAAATAACGTGAAGCAGAATAGAAATAAAAAGACCCCAAACTAGTAGGTTTTGTTCAACCTGAGCAAATGACATTTGTGGCCCAGTTTAAACCTGCATCAACATTTTGCACATCGGAGACGCACAACTTTAGAAAAACGTTTTACCATCTTAAATGGTATTATCAAATATTTATATTCTAATATATAATTTAGCCTCTCTGCCTCTACAATCCAAATCAGCTGTGGAGCAGCAGAGCTTCATCTGGGTAAATATCTGGGACTGATGCTGCACATGTTTCCATCATTACAATAAAGTATTAATCTATTGTGTAGCCATACAGCACAACAGCACATTGGAGGCAAGAGTGAACCAAAGGTGTTCCTCAGACCAGCATGAATAAATAATAAACACCTAACAACAGACCGTAGTGAACAAAGAGCAGAGAACAGCTCAGGGGTCAGAGGTCATGAGCCTCAGCCTTGTTGCCTGGGCTTTAAGGCTGCTCTGTGTTCTGCCTGAAGGAAAGGGGGTGACTATTTCATGGTCGGGATCGTTGCTCTGGTTCTGCAGAGGCTGATGTAGAACACTTAAAGCAGATAAAACTCTTCAGGAGGCCAGATGCCAATCAGAGCAGTCAACAGTGCCGTCCGTCATACACGGTTGAAAAAGAAGAAGCAGATAAATTTTATTTTGAAATAAAGAAGATAAGTAACTATCTGCTCATGTGTCAAAAAAAATAAGCCCAAGGCCAGGGCTATTCAATTCCAGGCCTCGAGGGCCGGTATCCAGCACATTTTGGTTTTACTCTGCTTCAACACACCTGATTTCTATCAGCAGGTGATTAACAGAGCCTGAGGAACTGCCTCCGAATCAGGTGTGTTGGACCAGAGAAACCACTAAAACGTGCTGGATACCGGCCCTCGAGGCCTGGAATTGAATAGCCCCGCCCAAGGCTGTCATTTATCCACCATATCTACTCACAGATCTGTGTGAACTCTGTGTGTAGGAACAGTTTTACACATTGTGTGGTGTGTGTGTGGACATGTTCCTAAATGTAGGAACAACTCAGACGATGCAGATGAACAGCATCTAGTGGTAGAACGGGGAAACCACAAATACCGAGGGTCTCAGTCCTCCACATGCTATATTTACCCACTATGCCATTACTTCTGTGGAACAGCTTTAACTGCTGTTAGAACCTACGAGTCCGACATTGTCGCTGGCTGATCTTGTGTTAATGGAGGATTTGGCAGAGCACTCACTCCGGAGTGAACCCGACTTCTAAAGCTATGCTGTGATTTGGGACCCTTCGTGGAGCAACAGACAAACCACACAAATCCAATTCCAGTCCATTTTCAGTTACTGACGACCATGGGAACAGAACGAACTTCAAACGGAACATGCATACAACTCCATTGTAAAATATAAATGACAACCGAATAGGGCTGGGCAATAAATCGAAAATGTATCGCTATCAAAATTTCTGACTCTTATCGAGAATTTTTCCCATGTCAATATATTTGATAATAAAAAAAATGAAAAGATGCGAGTAGGTTGGCAACGTTTATGTCCCTTTAAGAAGCTGTACCACCTTGTCACTCAAAATGTGACTCAACGTAATATGCGTGACAGCCCCGCCTAGTGGACAACTTTTGTCTCTGCACATACCTGTAGTTATCGTCCATTTATCGTTATCGAGGTGAAATCCTTAATATATTGTGTAACGGAATGAAATTACTTTTCCACCAAAAGTCATTTTCCCCCTCTCCTCTGACACAGGACTAGTCTGCATGAGATATGGCCTCAAGGTCTCATGCATTTGCTATAACCTGCTTCTTTCCAGCTCAAGAGAAGAATGAAGAAAAGGACTCTCTTTTTAATAAATGAAAGAACTCTATTTTAATAAAGCTAATCAAACAAAGTGTTAGTCAATAATAAGATGTGACCAATCTGTGAAATCAAAATATTAATTACTTTATTATAATCCTATAGAATATAATAAGTAATATGACTTTAAATGTTTCCACTAGGACTGATCTCACGTAGCGTTAAGAGACGACACATTGCTTTACTGATCCAATCAGAATCTGCCAGATCTGACGGAGGCGTGGTTTTGGTGGTGCTTGGTAAATCTGTCATCTTTTCATTCGACCATAAACCCAAATATCCAAAGTATAAAACTATGCCCACGTCATCTTTAACGTCAGTTCAAAGCGTTCTAGAGAAGTTGTCGGAGTGGCCAATCCATTACTTTCTTCTTCAGCCAAAAGAACCAACGACAAGCTGGATAAAACCTGTTGCTGTTCCAGCTGCAGCAACGGTTCCTTTCAGAATAAAAGCTGAACCAGGTTTGGGTCTCGCTAGATGCCAACAAACTGTCGTGACCCGGAAGTATCTCAAGACTGGTGGTCGGCTGCCGTGGCTGTTTCTACAGGCCCCGGCTCCATAAAGGTCAAGCTGGACCTCTACACCTCCTGATCTAGACGGGGACTTCCGCTAAGAGTACGTAGACCGACAAGAATGGCGTCAAATGTGTTTATGAATCTCCTAACCAAAGCTTAGCGCGAAGATCACCTCTACTTCCCACCAGAACTAATCGTTTCTTCGGATTTGCTGGTTCTGAGCAACATTCCACACTACACCATTCTCCATCTCATTCACTTAGTTACACCATACATTTAGTGTTTAAGTTAGTCTAGTTTTAATTTGTTTAGTAATAAATCGTTAAACTTTTAAAACCTGACTCTCTCTTCTGTTGTCTCTGAATTAATACGAAGCTGTTACCTAATCCCTACAACAAAAAGTTCCAATCTTCTGGTTAAACAGTACCCATAGGTCCATAAGTTGATTTCATATTTACTATGGAATCTTTTGTCTTATGGCTTATTAAATAACATGTAAATTAACTCATTACAGAATGGCGAGCCA